CGGTATTGCATTTCCAGCAGACACGTGGTAGTTTGAAGTCCCCCACGAGAACAAGGGCTAGCGATTGTGGGACTTCTCCCAGATGCTTATAGAATATTTTGTCTGCCTCTTCACCCTGGTTGGGTGGTCTATAACAGACTCCCACCATGATATCTGCCTTGTTGGCCTTCCCCCCGATTCTTACCCATAAACACTCAACTCTGTCGTCACCATCATTAAGCTCTAGACAATCAAAACACTCCCTAACATACAAGGCTACCTCACCGCTTCTCCTTCCTTGCCTATCCCTTCTGAAGAGTTTATAGCCATCCATTGCAGCACTCCAGTTGTGCGAGTCATCCCACCATGTTTCCATGATGGCAACTATATCATAGTTTTCCTGCTGCACAATGGCTTCCAGCTCCTCCTGTTTGTTGCCCATGCTGCATGCCCTGCATGCATGGAGTAGATGCACTTCAGTTGGGCTACTGATCCCACCACCTTTTTGGGCGCAGAAGCCCTAATTCCTATGTGACCATTCTTTCTCAGGTGCTCCCGTGGTTTCTAACACATCCATAATCCTTGCGTCTTTGCTGCCACATGCATCTCCATCCCCTCTTCCGCTGAGACGGCAGACCGGAGGACCTTGCTAGCACACCATCCCTCAAACATTGGCATGCTGCCCCCAGGCTTATCTCTAGCGAGGCTGTTTTTATCCCTTTCCCCATGGTCATGTTGTTCTTACTAACCTTCAACAAATTTTCTGATATTCTGGGCAAGACTCCGGACGCTGCTGGGGAGATTCCAAGGATCTTGCTTGATGTGGAGTCGTAGCCTCTTTGGACAGTTAAGCTTCGGTTCCCTTTCCTAAAAAATAAGCAAGGACAAAAATAATATTTTTCTGCTTAAACCTCCTGAGAAAGCCACAGTAAGACATTACTTCTTCCTAAATGTTTTCACAGCTCAAGGAGTTGTCAACTCATTTAACTCAAGTTAAAGCTAGGGTGACATGTCTAACAGTAATCTAAGCTCCCTACTTAGTCAGCAAGCAGCATTCCCAAACATGATTCTTTCTGAACTGGTACATAAGACAGAAGGTGCCTGTCTCCATGGAGTAAGTGGGATGCTGGAATGTTTAAAGGCAAAATTAATTGAATCTGAAAATTAAACTTAAAACAAAATTACTTATTGCTTAACCTAGTCTATCTTTCAAATCATTGATGTGTTCCTCGTACAGTTCATGAAGATGGTGCAGATCAAGAACAAAATAACTGATGTGTTCATATCTTGTGTCTCACTGAACATTTATTATACCACTGAAAGGATAACATTTTGTTGTGTGAGCCTACCAGATACTCAGTCTGAAACACCGAGAAACACGAGAGCAGAAATGCTCTAAGTTAAGTTCATCCCCATTACCTTGGTCCCAAAACAGGAAACAGAAAAAAAAAAAAAAAAAAAAAAAAAAAAAAAAAAAAAAAGAGGAGGTTATGCGGTCTTCCATGTAAATTCAGTGAGGGGGAAAGTACTTCAGGCTTTGTGAAACCAGATAATTGGCATACAGTAATTATGCTCTGTTGACTTCAGTGGGAATTTGGTGATTTATAAAAGAAAAAGATCCACCCTCCGGCCATCTAAAATTAGTTTTCTTTGCCAAAAGACATATGCAGGATCAATAAAATCACACTTAGACTTAAGCAACTATGTGCATGTTAGCACAGTATCTGAAATTACATACAGGATTTTTTTTAAACAATCAATAATAATTATATAAGCTTATATTTGGCATAAATATTACTGTGACTATAAAACTGCATTTGCAATATTTATAAATCAACTTCACAAATGATATATGTACAAAAAATAATAAAAATCTGGCATTAGCAATAAAATAGATCAGAAATGGCTTCAGTAGTTGAGACAAAAATGTAATAAACACACCTGCAATATACAAAACCTGTTTCTTGCTTCAAAAACCTCAGCAATTCTATAGCCAGTTCAGAGTCTACAATTTAAAGCTGACTTTCCAACAAACCTGAAATTCTTTCATACGTTGTGCAATAAAAGTATAAGCAGCCAGTTTTCAACTAAGAATAAAAACTACTTAACAAGAATTTCAACAACCAAATATTGCAGAATATGCCAAGATTAAGCACAATCAGTTCTTTAACACCCAGCTCAATGAGTAGATAGCCATATCCATGTACGCTTCCATGTAACCATGCCTTTTGATTCTCACAGAATTAAGTGTTACCTTGGAGGCCTCGACCTGGTGTGAAGTATTTTGTCTGCTCAAAGGCCCTCATCACAGCTGGTCCTTTTAGAAGATTGACAATTGAATCAACCTGTTGGGATCAAGGTTCTGTGAGAAAGATGGTTTTTTACAACAACAATTAGAAATTCTTTCTTCAAGAATTATGGACTACAGAAGAGCAGCTTTGCATTCTTTCTTACTTAATGGCTCTAGTTAAAGTAACAAGTTAGGGAAGGTTAGACTAAATCTAAGGACCTGTTTAATTTGCAGTTTTGCACTATTTACAGAACACTGAAGGAGAATGAGTAAATACATACCATCCCAGTAAACAGTGGAAAGCAAAAGTAAAAAGAAAAAGAAGTATTTGCTAAAGACATCTTAGCTCAAACATGGACATTAGTATCAAAGCCAAGAAAAATAATCTCATACTTGACCAAAAAGATGCTCCAAACAGCTATGGAGCTTGTCCTGTTTATCATGGGAGATTCGAACACTTATGGGAAGCTCATCACCTGAAAAATATTTTAAAATGAAAAACTGTTTAGAAGTTTCAGCATGTTTTCCAAAATCTCTGTAGCTTAGATAATCTGCTTTGCACACAGACCAATGCTTAGGCTTTCAGGATTATAGTAACTGTTCTCCCTACGTATTTTGCATTTAGTAGTCACTCAATAATACAGAAATAGCTCTTAGAGAATGGACCATATTCAAAACCCAACTGGACATGATCCTGGACAACCTGCTCTAGGTGACCCTGCTTGAGCAGGGGATTGGACTGGATGATCTCGAGAGGTCCCTTCAAACCTGAACCATTCTGTGACCAGAACATACAATTCTTCTGTGCTGGAGAACATCCTAAACACCAGACTAAATGGCTAAGTAGTGTGAACCTAATATAGCAGACCACAAAGTCACTGAAATACATTCATTTTTTTTTTATAAAAATTTTTATAGGGACTCTACAGACAATTAACAATCTTGATGTTCTTACTAATTAAATGGTTCTGAGATTTTAATAATTCAACAAAAATATAGCATCCAAATCCTGTATTTGATATGAAGTTTTTAGTAGTACGTACCACATCATTTCCTAAGAGAGTAGAAAGGAGAAGGACTCTCCTAGGCCACTGCGCTCAGTCACTTGCTCTCTCAGACAACGGGTGATGCAACCTGAACTCTTTCAAAAACTGTGAAAAATTGACCTTAAAACTGATTTTCCTCCTTCTTGTTGCAGTGACAGATAAGAAGTAGGCACTTGATAATTTATAATCCAAATTTATTAATGGTCAATCTAGACTCATTTTTCTTATGTCAGCGAAACACTTAAATAGCACTTTTCTGTCCTTGATTTTTATTTTAGCTTCTTAAGATGTCCTTACAGCCAGTAGTTATAACCCTTCGCAAGATTTTAATTGCAACAGATGGAGCATGGTGCCAAAGAGCCCTGATCTGGAGTTAACCAGGTTAGCTTTGGAACTAGGAGAAAATTAAGTCATCAGGAGAGTGTGAGTTTCACTGAGCAGCAGTATTTATCAACTTGAACACTGTATCTGTCCTTGCCTAGCACAGACATATTCTGTTAGGCACCTCAGTCGGTACTTCAACTTGATGCTGCACAAGTGCATATCAGCTCATTTATATCTTAAGTTGAAGGCACAGACCCTGGGTCTCCTCTTTTATTAACAGCTCTTTATGTCCTTCATCCTTTCCTCTGTATCTGCTCAGCTCTGTAAGCATGTATTATTTCTGGAAAGCAGCTGCCTAGAACTGCATTATTCACAAGGTATCTCAGATACCTTGCATAATGACATTAATAGTTTCCTGTCCCAACTTGCAAATACCTCTCCTGGTACAACCAGCAATAAATTTTGCCTTCTCTATGGCCAAGTCTCACTGGTGGCTCATATTCAACTAATATGCCCAGTTCTTTCTTTTCCTAAATCATTCCCAAATGATAAACTCCCAGCTTAGAGCAAATATTTTTTATTATTAGTCCCTGTGTATATGACCTTGTACTCCATGCAGCTAAATCCCATCTCGTTCCTATTAGCAGCTGCATTTATTTAAATTCAATTTGTCATGGCATAAACAAGAATGTGCTTCTATGTGGTCTCGCATTCCTTCCTGCAAACATACACAGCCATATCCTGCCGTCCGGGTGCTGACACAGGCTCAAGAGCATTCCACACTCACCTAAAATGCTCCTTAGTCTGTGCAACGTAACACACTGTCAAGGTCAAGGCATGAAAGTGGTTAAAAGCAGTGACTCTAAGATCTCTAACTAATTCAGTCTATTCACAGAGATGCTGGAATGTTGGCTCTTTCACAGAAGGACTCAAGTGCAGCACTAGCTAGGCAGAGGCAAAATGATACACTTCTATTACCAAGGAGGATGCAATTTTTAAAACAGAAACAACAAAACTGCCAGGCAAATGAAAAGAATAAAAGTGAATAAAAGGAACAGATGACAGATTCATAGCTGACTTTTCTAAACATACCTGAATCCATTTCATCACTGTGAAAATAAGAACTGCACTGACTGCTACAAATGCTGGTGAATGAGGCAATGGAGTTCCTATTGCTGTTGCAATCACTTGAAAAGAAAAAAAGAAAACACAAAACAAAAAAATAAATGAAGTCATATCCTTTAATACAGGCTCTGTTTCAAAGTTATAGAAATTTTTTCCCTTTCCCCCTTTTAAATTTAATGATGAGATGGTCTGTACAATTCTTTATCAACAATAAAGATCCCTATACTTAGGCTATCATTTAATTTGCAATCCTGGTAGGACTCAGAGGACCAGATTCCCAAAACAGATGATTCAATTGTCTCCCTTCACCTTGCATGCGAACAAGTACTTGCAGAATGATAATATACACTTTCAATGCAAAACAACCAATTTTTCTTACACAAGTGACAGTTTTGGAAACTGTGGCCTCAAATGTTTTAGTAACTCTACATTCAAATTCTGTACTCCTAGTCTATAGATAATACAAATGACGAAATACTCTGGTTTATGACTTGCAAACTAGAGTCCATAATGGGTTTAGAAGAGATTTGATCCATCCAAGTAGCACCAAAACTCAAATTACAAACTATTTTTCCCTGCCAAGTAAAATATAGTTTATGATCCCATCTCTTCCAGCTGTTCATTTTGTTAGAGGTATATAGACATTTACATCTGTGACTTCAGTGAAAACTTCTGTGCATACAAAATGTCACCCACACTGGTCTAGTAAGGAGATATGGGGATTAAAATGTGTATTTTTTTCTGCGCTATTCTCTCAAAAATAAATTGTTCTGTACAGAAAATAGATAGAGAACATACCTACTTCTGCAGCATAAACAGAGTAAAACATAGCCTCTTGTACTAAAAATCCTATGAAGATAAGTTTGAATTCAAAGTCTTCAGAGTTATTTAGCCACATGAAGATCATTTAGTTTTAATGCAGGAAATGCTTAAGTGATTATCCAGCAGAGGGAGTCTTAAAAACCCAAGTGAATATAAGATAATATAGAAGTGTACCTAAGGGATATTTATATATGATGATCTGATTTTGGTTTTATGAATTGCGTGTACCCATTCACCAAGATACACATATCTGTATTTTATATATAATGCTGCAGTTATACACGTACCCATGTGTTCCCTACTTGTTTTCTTTACTTTTGTAAATACAGAAGTGATCTTTTACTAGTTTCAGCATACTGACTTACATTTCCTGGCTAAGGTATATGTTTTGGACCTATAGCCAACCAGGTGAGTGAATGGGGAAAACTGTTAAATGAAGCAATATGATATAATTACAATCATATCCATTAAGTAGATGAAAAGATATCAGTAAAAACATGTTCCTAACAGAAGCAGAAGCTGAACAGTCCCAAGGAGTATTAAGAATTTCTGGCTGGATATTAAGAAATGTTTTCCAACTCTATTCACTTATTGAAGTCTCCAAAGGGAAGATGAAGCTTATTTAAAACTGGATTGTGCAAAGCATGAGAAAATAAAACACAGGAAAATGAGAAACAAGATTAGATGTATTAGCTATATCATTCTGCATTCTTATCATCTTGTACTGTGAGGTTTAGAATGAGACCCTACAACACAAAATGAGAGCGTTCTAATGGCTGAAATTAGCCTACTAGTTCTAATAATAACCACGGTGGCATTATGGAATCTGGAGATTTTAAGTATTGCCTAATGTAATTATTTAAGTAAAGAAACAAAAAATTCCAATCTCACTCCAACAATTGTTCTAAATTCACAGATCTTATGATTATTCTGCATATGGAACCCTAGATTTTATCATTCCTAAACAGCCAGAATGGACTATAAATGACTGGAATCAGAATAAAGAATATATTTCAAATGAAGAGACACTCGTGTCCTAAGACACACCTTCTTTCTCCACATACAAATCTTGTGCCAACTGGGGAACTTCCCAACTGGAGCAAGCACAGACCAGTGGAGCAGCTCCTGCATAGTCAGTTTGACACATCATGGACATGCAGAAACCCCTAAACACGCTTCAGCTGGAACAGCATATTGCTTGTGTCTTCACCATGGTTAGAACAAGATGGACTTGATCTGTGCATATTATCTTTACATTTATTTCTGTTCAAATCCATATGTATATTTCTGTTTCTACTCTGACAGAGTTCCTATCTACCATGCTGCAGTAATCAAATATTAGCTTATGAAAGAGATCTCAGCAACACAGGGTTCTGTAGAAAAACAATGACCCTACTGAGATTCTACTTTCTGAGCATAATAATGAACCATGATAATGAACAAATAATGAACCCTTATTTTACTTGCAGCTAAAATTTTAATTTAGATTTTATATCGTGTAGTTAACCAATTCTCTCTAAGCAACAGAAGACAATCTTTATAAGACCTATGCTTGCTATAATTACTCTTTCCTTTTCAAAATTCTTTGTATTTTCATTATTTTCATTCACAGTAAACATGACGCATTATGAATTCTAGAGGTGAGATGATGCCACAATATTTAGAATGGAAGAAGGTGAGGAATGTATGTTGAGAAACAGTTGTTTTTTTTTTTTTCTTTAGATCAGCAAGAGTGGTGGCTCTGGCATCTTGCTTTCCATGGCAGATATTTGGTTTGTTGTTGGGGAACATAGTAACAGAAATTATTTCTGTTTTTTATAAGACAGGTAATCTAAAGTAAAGCTTTACAGCTCGGGCTGTGATATCCTATAAAGGTTAGGGATACTGAGATCTAACAACTAATCTGTACTCATAAAAGAGTTTATTTTACACATCTTGTAACACACCTTGATGCTCGTTATTCCTCTGTTAGAAATGTCAGAATCATTATATTCTGATAGTCTTCATAGCCACTTGACAGTCTACAAACCCACAGGTTTGATTCAGTTGACAAATAAAGCATTATTAGTAAAGTTACCTGTAAGAATCCCTGTTGCTGATGGTATCATGACCAGAATCTTCTTGTTCATCACCTGTCACGCTGAAACAGACTTTCTTCCCATTCCTTTCCCCCTTTTCATTATCACTGTCTGCTGGTATTAAAGGCTCAGGCGTTTTACGTTCTGATTTGGGAGAATATGTTATTGAAGAAAGAAGGCTGTGAGACCAGGAAAACAAAAAAAAAAGAAGAAGAAGAAAAGATAAATTCATGTTTTTCCAAAGTGAGCTAACAACAGGATAACATTTCTTGTCAATGTCCTCCAACTATTCTATAATATGTGAAGGGAACATCTTAATTCAGTCCATATCTATTTGAAACAAGGGAAGAAAGTGGCATATTCTGCTGTTAAAAAGTGTAACAGTGAAACCCATTAGCATTACTAATACTTAGTCTTGTATGAAGGCAATGATTCCTGCTGGGGAAGAAATAAAGCACATTCTTGAACATTCTGGGTCAAATTTTATATTAACATAACTATTTTTAAACACGAACCTGTACTTCTCAGCACAAATCAAGAAAACAAACCAAAGAAACTATATCTCTGTGAAAAGCATGTATTTTCCCAATTACTACTGTACCAGACATGCCAGACTGCATCACAAGCTATTTTACTAAGGCATTTGAAGAATCTTGATTAACATATCTCTGTATTTCCTGACATTCAAAGTGTCTAAGCCACTATCACTAGTAAAATTGATGATTAATCTACAAGCTTCTGCAATAAGCACAAAAGTGACATCCAGTCAAGAAGAGGGAACTGTGCAGACTGCTACATTTAGAACATGCACAAATACTGGAAGCAAAAGATTCATATTCTTGAGTGATTAACTCATATTGAGATGTTCTAATTTACTTTCAAGATCACAACAACTATAATGGGCAATTGTCCCTTAATTCTTGTTACTCAAACACTCCATTAGAACGACAATTTCAAATTAATATTTGGATTTGAAAGGCAGTGTTTTTCTTGCAAAAACTACCTTCTAACTACCCGAAATCAGGTAGCTTTTATTCCTATAAATTACTTAGATACAGTAGCAGGGTTTTATTGTAGGAGCTGTCACAATGATCAACTGGCAAACTTTGTACCAAATACATGGCAGGATTCAAATATATGTTAGATCTTTTTGTTACACATAAGTCTTACTTCTGAAGGGAACTACAGGAGATGCATATCTTTTGTGAACAAAAATGCTGCCCTAATTGTTATTAAAGTGTAGCATTCAGAATTCCTTCCTTTACTGTTATTGCTCGCCATGCATATCAGCTTTGTTACATTACTCAGGGGAGGAATTCTGATTTCAAGTGGTTTAGAGCTCCATCTTAATTTTGTGGGGCTCTGCCAGTTGAAGTAATTCATTCTTAATCCTAATAAAGTTAAGTTTGTTCAGCTACAGTTACATCAGTACTGAGCTATCAATTTCTCTACTCTTTTGACAAAGATGTTCTACCAGAAAACAACCTGATCCTAAGATGGTCTTGAAAGTTGAAGTTTCTGGACTCAGAGCAGTGACTTTTTGCATACAAAATGCAGACAAGGTGTTCAACTATAACGTTTTTGAGTATGCACAAATAATTTCCTGACTCTCAGGAATGGACAGAGCTTTAAGAAAGAAATTAAGAAACCATATACTCTGGAAATGCAATAGGTAGATTATCTCTTTAATGCTGTCTGTTGACTGCATAGCAATGAATACATACCCCAAATGGTATATCAAGCTTGGTCTCATTGAAATCATGACCTGACAGATGTTAACATAGGGTTTGACATTAACTTTAGGGAAACAAGGATGACAAATAAAGCTTTTTAGCAACGCCTTTCATCATTTCTGCATAACTTTCTCTGGCTAAGAGCTAACAAGAGATAGACAGATAGGTATTTATGCTATATATAGGAAAAGGTACTGATCTGAACTGTAACTGAAATATAGAACAACTATACAAAAGGTGTAATTTTACTGGAATTTAAACCCACCCATCCACTAAATAGACATCTTTTGGGCTACATGATGCTTTAACACTTCAAATCAGTGTGAAATCACAACTCATTTTTTCCCTATCATTTAAGTCACCGGTTAGCAAGATTCCATGAGAACGGGCAGAAAGATGGGGCCCATATTTTACAGCAGTGTTCAGTTTCGATCTACCTGTTAGAACATACACGTTCTTGAACATGTCCTAAAATAAATGTGTTATGAAAATGAAGACATTAGAAAATCAGTTCTTTGTACTTGTATAACTTACTTTTTGAATATGAAAATACAAAAGGGGTTCAAAAAGGTATTAGAAAAATTCATGGCAGATCATTCTAACAGTGCACTTAAAACAAAAGGTCCATTCCAAGAAGACCTTGTAGCACTGCCTCCTGGAAGATAAGGACAAGGATTAATCTACACTTTTGCTTTTTCTTGTGTTCCTGTTATCATCTACTTCTAGCAAAACAAAAATGGGCTTTAGGCAGATCCATTCTGGTAACTTCTTGAGAATTTTGTTGTTGCAAGAAAATAATCAAGAGTAAGAAACAAGCATAATGAACTGCAATTTCAGCTCCCCTTCATCTTCCCCTGAGTAATTATTTGTCAAGACATGGACAGACTATTATATCCTCTTCTTTTATGTGACTGTTTAGTCACTGCTGCCAAGATCTCAGTGAAAGACTGATGAAGGTAGCTGGAGCTTTTCCTAAGGGAGCTTTTCACTTTCTCTCAGCAGGCAGGCACTTTTTCTAAGGAAAGTGTTTTTTACTGAAATACCATGAACGAAAGCTGGAACTTTGGATAACAGAGTTCTGGAGCTGGTAGTTCCTGAGGTCACTGGAGTGCTCTTAGAAACCCAATTCAGGGAGTCTAAATCACACAAACCCAAACCTGGACACAGAAAAACCCCAATAATCACACTTAAATAGAGGGGTTTGGGTTTTTTTTTTAATTTTTTTTTTTTTAAATTCTTAAACACAGCACATGCACATTATATTTTCTTTGGAGATGGGTCTACTCCAAACAAAACTATCTTAGAAGTCTATCTCTCATAAGAGAAATATGTAAATGAGTAGTAACTAACAGCTAGACAGGCTCTGTAACTATAATTTCCATGAAACAGAGAAATTTAAATCTCAACCAAAAAAATCCTCACATGTGAAATTAATCCTATATGCAACCCAAGTCAACACAATCCTAAAACTCTGTCAGAAACAAACAAAACCTACTATGGTCAGTCAAAGCATTAAAAATGGATAGCCACAGGCAGTAACAAAAAACCTATGCAACCTGTGAGCTGCTTTGCCTTTTCCTTGCTCCACGGAGGCTCGAAAAATGTTCAAACCTCTTGTATGCTCCCAACAGACATCTTTCCAAAAAACAGCTGGGATCATGGGAGCACATTGAGTGCATGTGAGCCAACACAACAGTTACCATACAGAAAACAACCTGAAGAAGGACTTATTTTTGTATAACACCTAGCATCAATGGTGGGTATCTGGCAATGGTGCTAAAGAAGTACTGGGATACTATTAAACTATTTGAACAAGGAGTCAGTGGAACTTCAAGAGGCTGCGGAAAGGGGGTATGTGTCTTTTTTCTGTGTATACCTCTCTCTCCATCAGTACTGTACGTCTTATGCAACCCGATTTCATCAACGAGCCTGGACAAAAATTATTTTGCAGATAATGCTAGGAGTACACAACCTTCTCTTAGACATTTCCTTCCCATAATCCACAAGCTCTCACAGACCTACTCTTCAAGTGGAACACTTGTTTTTCAGTTTGCTTTCATTCACTAACAGATAGGAGAGGCTGGGCAGATAACACTGCCCCAAGATTTTGGGAGTTGAGAGACAGACGATTACTGACCTCAACACAGACCAGAGACATCTCGTAACATGAAAGAGCAACAGTTTTTCAACAGTACTGTTATAAAGGGTACCAACGAGTCATTTAGTAGCCCAATTTTTCTATCATTCAGTATCATATAAAGTCAGAATTGTGATACGGCATTCATATCTTCCATCCTGAGAAAATTATAATGAGCATTGTTTATAATAATAAGCAATTCAATAAATGAAGACATCAATTTTATTGTTGCTATGTTGTAACAGAAAACAGAAGTTCTACAGTCTTTATAAAGTTCAAGGATCACCATGTTCAAGCATTTCCTACTACCTGCTGAAGTATGAATATTTCTAATTAAAGCACAGCTGTTTCATTATCCTATCTTATTATTCTATCTTCTGTTTCTTAGTAGTCCCAACTTTTCTCTCAAGAGTTAATTAGTAGCTGTAACTATGTTCTAATATAATACACCATGCACTGCTGAACTGCTCACACCCAGATAGCACCAGCTTCCCTCTTCCCTGTTGAGCACTCTTAAGTAGGTCCCTTGGCTATCCTGTTTCCTGTACAGAACCGCTTTCCTCCACAGTAATTACACACTGGCAGTCCACTCAAAGTCCGTGAGGAATAAAGTATGAAAAGTCTCAGTCTTACAAACAGCAAAAGGTAAAATTTGCTCCATAAATAGGTGCACCTTATACAAGACCTGCCAGGACATCGGTGTACAGAATATCTATGAAAGAAAAAAAAAAGTGAACCCTTTTGTTTACTGTCACAACTGTGTGACTCTCAAAATGAATACGTGTATATATACATGTATATACCTCTACACACAATATATGTGTGTGTGTATTTATGTACATGTTATATACATGCATATGAAAGAAAGGCTCAGAAGTTCCTGTGCTTTTGCATCATGGGCTCAAGGGAGTGGAAAGGAAAGGCGTGGCAGACTGGTAACTAGAACTTCCTGACATACTGACTGAACTTCCATGTATAATTCTCTGACTTCCTTGAGGAAGAGTGACAACACAGGCTTTACAGGCAGTCATTTTTAAATGCACCCAAGCACTGAAGTTATCTTAAATTTAATTAACTGACTTCATCTTCAGCATGATAATTAGCAGAACTACTTAAAGGCACAGAAAACAACATTTTCTCTAAGAAATTTGAGGCCACTCTTACTTTCATTGTTATTGCAGTATGTCATACATTACAATTACTTGTTACTGTGTAACTATTACATTACATTATTATTAGAGCAGTACAAAAAGATTCCCATTCTGAAATAACCATGAAAGGACAAATCATTGTACAGTCTTCAAAATAACAGGAGAAGCAATGATACACCACTTTTCCAAACTGGACATCATGAAAGACTGGCTTTTAAACTCAAAAAATTATGTTATTTATACTTTCAAAAAGAGTAATTTCTGACATTTGCATTACATATGGGATCCTTCAAAACTGAAAGACCTATCATCCTTCTTCATCCTCATCCCAAGACAGCAAATAGCCTAGCAGTCAACCCACTTACCTCACAAATGGAAAATCAAGTTTTAAATCCTTGTCCTGAATTAGGACAAACTGTGATGAGACTCTGGGTCTCCCACATTTAAGCCAAGTGTCCTAATCACTCAAGAGTGGCTCTCTCCAGATCCATAGTTTTTCACTAAGGCCAATTTGGTTTTGAAAAATGTCTAAGAAATTAATAATCTTCCTATGGGTGAAAAATGCTTTACCTAAAAATTCATCTTTGGGACTATTCAGCAATACCTGAAGATAAAAATAAAATAAAAGCTATTTTTATACCTCCGCCCTTTGTTTCCATTCCTAGTGAAATTTTAGATGACATGCGTGCCTCATATTTCTCTCACCTCAAAATAATTAGCATTTCCACACTCTAAAGAAAAGCTACAAACTAAAGTGGGAAAAAATCAGGGACATTGGGAAAAAGAACAAAATATAGTATTACCTACACTTAAATTCTTTGCCTTATTTCAATTCTATCCCAAGTCACCATTGATCCTATACTACACAAAAAGGATACCCCACTTTATCAGTATCTTCAATGGAAATATTAAAGGCAAGTCCAGATGGCAACATTTACTTACTCATCTATTTGACAGACACATGTTTCCACCTCTTTCAGTGCAGCTTGTAATTTGAACAGCAATTTTTGATAGACATCTTGTGTTTCTAAATCTTCTTCTTTTAAGAGGTACCTCAGACCATGGCCCTCTTGCTGGCCAAGAGACTGCCCTGAAGGGGCAGCCATAGTAGTAATGGTATGTTGGACATAAATCATGGGATTCAGTTTACCTGGGAATAATCCAAAGAGGTTACATCATTATCTTTTTTTCAGCATACATTTTGACGTTAGTAAAATACCTAACAGACATTGAAGTATTTTCCTGCTTTAAACTTCACGTAATTATTTAATTTTGTATTTTATCTTGCATATCAAAGTCAAGCTATTTAAGGAAAAAGTTATTGTGCAATTATGACTAGCCTTTATTATGCTTTAAAATAAACCTAAATATTGAAAATTGGGGGATTTCATAAAGGCTTGTCCTGAATTTTAATATTTTGGACATAAACCTAAACCAGTTGCCTTTTAAGACTGTGTATCAGAAGCACTGGAACTAGTTCTTTCAAGTTCAACTGACTTACCTTGATCACTGTTTTTATTTTCCTTTTCATGGGAAGAATGTTTTCTGCTGTCTAACTGTACACCAAAGGCACTACCAAGGGAAGTTGAGGTTTTAGGGTAAGACACTTCCATCACATTGATATGGCAATTGGTTGGACAGAAATCACTGCTGTGAAGTGGTGAAATCTTTGACTTAGCTTGTTTGAAGGTAGGCCAAGCTCTGTTTTTTAATACTCTTGAAAACTAGAAGTGAGAAAGAAAACAAAATTTTGATTAAGAGCTTTTGATGCGTCAGCACTTGGCTGACAAAACTTGTGTACCTGACCAGAAAACAAAAGCTTAAAATATTTCAGGCATCCTTGACTTCAGATGCCTTGACTTCAGAATTTCCATCTTTCTCTACAAGGGGAAGAAAAAATATTTTTCATTTTATATTTTTGAGGGGTTGGTTTTTGAAGTAAATTATATTTACAAATTTAAATAGTCTTGTAACAAGGAGATAGAATTTATTTTCCTTGCAACACAATAAAATATTAAGTGTCTTCCTGGGGAGAAAGTATGGAAATGCTTTATGATCCAGTGCTGTGCTGCACATGACTTTTATAAACACCTGCTGACATAGATGTTTTCAAGTCAATGTCTTGCAAAGATTTCTGAAATTTTTGCCTGAAGCTATAATAAAGACAGAATTGGAAGCTATGAATTATGAATTTCATATTCAGGAAGGATGAAGTCCTCCTTAATGGTTTCCCTGAGCTGCATTAGGAGAGGCATTGCCAGCAGGTGGAGGGAGGTGATCCTGCACCTCTACTCAGTACTGGTGAGGCCACACCTGGAGTGCTGTGTCCAGTTCTGGGCTCCCCAGAAATAGAGAGACATGGGCATACTGCAGAGAGTCCAGCTAAGGACCACTAAGATGGTTAAGGGACTGGAATATCTCCCCTATGATGAAAGGCTGAGAGAGCTGGGACTGTTCAGCCTGGAGAAGAGAAGGCTCAGGGGGATCTCATCGATGTAGATAAATACCTGAAGGGCAGGTACAAAGAGGACAGAGCCAGGCTCTTTTCAGTGGTGCCCAGTGACAGAACCAGAGGCAATGGGCACAAACCAAAACACAGGAGGTTCCCTCTGAACATCAGGAAACACTTTCACCGTGACAGTGACTGAGCACTTGCACAGCTTGCCCAGAGAGGCTGTCAGATGTCCCTCCTTGCAGATACTCAAAAGCCATCTGGACATGGTCCTGGGCAACCATATCTAGGTGGTCCTGCTTGAGCAGGGGGATTGGACAAGACCTCCAGTGGTCCCTTCCAACCTCAACCATTCTGTGATTTTGAATGATTCTGTGAAGTTGATAAATATTAGAGCACAAAAATTGCAAACAGCATGTTTTACAGACTTTGCTAGTCCACCACCTCTTCTCTCCCCCATGTATCAGCTCAGCAATGATGAACATTTTTTTTCCCCTCTGTTTTATGGTCTAATTCTAACACAGTGCTTAGCCACATCTCCTTCACTGTAACACCTGAAATTTTGTGCACACTCTTGAACAGGCTTAGAGTTATTTGTGTTTTAAGATGAGATGATGTCAACCCAAAATGGCTAAGACTGAACTGTACTAAATTTGGACACTTAGAAAATACAGAATCATAAAAGTCATGAGATCTAGCTCTCCCACTGGAAAAGAGACTTGTCAGTCACAAGTAGGATTTTTGTCAAAATGTGTTCTTTCCAGTGCAGTTTGTTGTTAGGGGAGAACTTTTTTTGGAAAAGATGTAATCAGTCCCAAGTCCCTGGTATTTTAATCACCATATCTCTGCAGACAAAATATTGCACAGACCTACCTCAGCTATGGACCATAGCTCATGCATAACAGTATTTTCAAAGTTAACTTGCAAAGTTCCTTCCCTAATAAATGTCAGTACAAATTCAATCAGTCAAGTTTTGACTAACACTTCAGTTGAACAAAGGTATGTCCCTTCTGAGTAATAAAAGGTTTTTGTGCTGGGATTTAAATTTCTGTTTATTTTGGTGTCATATTACTTGAGCCTGATGAACATTTGACTGATTAATTTACCTTTACATCGTTATATCAGAACAAGATCTGGAAGGTTAAAAGAAATCCAATTATGGAATTGTTCGAAGGCTGAAGAATGTACAAATAGTTAAGAAGGGCACTAAGGACATTCAATGATGAAAATGTTCCTGCAAGCAGTACATATTTCACATCTCAATCTCCCACACATCCTGCTCCAGAGAGACCAAATGCCTGGCTATGATTTAATCAGGTCATAAGTCAGGCCCAAAATTCTTTTCATATATGTGTTGAGAAACATCTGGGACTCATGGCACTGGACTCGAGGTCTATTATGAGCAAAATGTTCTGATAATAATAATAGTAGGAACTGCAGAAATCTACAGGGTTTCTATTTATAGAATTCAAACTTTCACAGTGAAACCAGAAGCCAAGCCGGGCTCAGGCGCTCTGAAAGTCTCCTGTAACTATGGTTACCTTTACCTTGCCAAGAAAACGACAGATCTATTCCTGAAATTCATTGCATTACTAATTGTCATTAAAAACTGTAACTGTGAAACTACTGATTTTTGAGCAGATGAGCTTGAAAGTGCAGTTTGTATCAGCAATATACTGCTTCTAGACAGTATAAGCACTATGAAAACTTCCCTGAGGCTGTTTGTTTCATATCCAGCATAACACAATAAAATTTCATTTATTGTCTTGGCCTCCTGTAAAAAGACTGTATATCATGCTCAAATTTTTTGGCTACAGGAAAGGTATAAACCACCCACACGTTACTCAAACTGTAAATACACTATTATTAATGTTAAAACCAATGAATTTGTTCTTTAAAAAAATATTTTGATTTTTAACCAGTCTGAAAACACAGAGGTTTATAATTCAGGCAAACAACAGGGAGACCGGATGTTTGGTAATGCAGTACCAGAATCCTTTTGATGTCTCCTTCTGTGACTCAACTCCTCAGTTTATTCCATTTCTTGTCAGAAAGCACCCTGAAAAATCTTTGGAAAGCTGCTCTTTGGCCTTCATCCCACTGAAGCTACAGGTTTTCCTTACAGTTTTCCTTCCTTTTCCTTTGAAAAAACAAGAAAACATTATCTGCTCTTCTCCATGCAACTTTTAGAACTGTGTGAAGCTTCTGCATTGAACCTCTTTTTCCTTTTCTTTTTTTTTTTTCTTTTCAATTTTTTGCATATTATCTCTCAGAACAGACCAGTATCTGAATGTCACAACTCAGATCCCCAAGTCCGATAAGACAGAGCAGTGCCAGTTCTATGTAGCTGTTTTGGGCCTACTTCAAACTAGTTCCAAACTCCCAAGAATCAGGTTGTATGGGAGAGGAACAAGAAGCCAGGATGAGAAAATAAGTTTGCATTAACAAATTGACAAATGGTTGATTCATTTATGCCCTGCTTAGCTAAACAACTATAGAGAAATACACTGACAGCAACAAGAGGTCATACCTCAGGTTATTTATTCATTCACATCTCATTAATTTAGATCTCAAGTGTATGAAAGTCAGCACCTTCTCCTTTTTTCCATGCTATAATGTTTTATTAACCCAAGTTAATCTAACAATTTACAGAGCTATTACTATTATGCTAGAAAAAGTCATACCAATTTGAAGGGCATAAAAGATGAATAAAAGGGTAACAATTTGGTATTTAAAATTAAGATGCATTAGAAGGAAAAGAACAATTCTGCTGTTATTGCTTCATTTTTGGTTAACATCTGCAAATTCACTAGAGAATTGGTTTAAGGCATTTACAAGAATGCTGGGCCTTTTGTGGGAAATATGCAGTTGATTGTATCTACAACTGAACACAGCAACAAGAAAGGATACGATCTACCCAGTGTCTAAAAAAGAGATAATAAAGAGCACGGTTTGAAAACCATTTATGTAATTACTCAGTTTAGGCATTCACACCTCAAAATAGCTAAACTTTCAGCCGTATTTTTGTCATTGCAATAGACATTTTGAAGAGTTATTCAAACTGTACCACATTCCCCTGATTTTCCCGTAAAAGACAAATATCACCAAGCTTAGGACATGCCGGTCGTACCTTTTTATAACTAGAGATTCTTCGGCAAATATGCTCAACTTTCTCACTGCAAATGACACTGAATTTACTCTGAAGCTCAGTGGGGATCACTTCATTTAAGGAATTGAGGCTGTTGCAATTCTGCACAAAATGTTCATCGCTTTTTGCCAGTGCTTCAAGAATCTAAGATAATAAAAACAAGAGCAGTACATTATGAAATAAGATGACTAAGATAACCCCTTACTTAACCCCTTACTTATCATCCCTTATAATTAAAGCTGAAAAGCCTGATAATCAGTTGCCTTTTAACATTACAGGCAATGCTGCATAACAACAATTAATGAAACTTGGAAAGCAAAGAGGTTTCTTTAAATCTATCCCCTGCATAAGTTATACCCATAATAAGTACTTTTATTTGGCTTCTCATGACATTGTCTGACAATGGATTTACTACTAATTTCCTACTAATGTAACCACTATGGCTCCTCTGAAATACATTATCTGCTGTATTTACTTGAACAACACGTATTATGCAAAGCTGATGAATTAATTCATTACTTGTAGCAAAAATTTGGTCTGGCAGCATAAGTGATACTAACACATTGAAAAAGCATACAAGGAAACTGAGTGCTATCCTCTTGTATCTTCTGCGTATATAAACAGGAAATAGGGAACAGAATAAGCTATACTGCCCAGCAAAGACTGAAGTCTTGCTATGATGGAAATAGCACCAGCAAATGATGGTGATAGAAAACTGGAAAAAAAGGCATGTTGAAGAGATGAAGGTAGTATATCACCCTTTTTTTAGAGTGAAGAGTCACATTTCAGGCATTGAAATTCACTGTGTTGTGGAACTTGGGAGATGGCTATTGCTGGTTGGGTCCAACTCTGAAGATGTGTTTGAAAAACACACCAAAAATAACTTTCTAACAAAGGCACCCAAAATCCAGATTAAGGCATCTAAATAAGAAAAGGCTTGCATTTTAGAGATACTTAAAAAAGTCTGGACAAACAACACATACAGTATTAATCCATCATGGGACTTAAGTCTGTAATTCACTTCTGCTACAGTTCATTATTATACTATCCACCATCACAGACATAATATAGGGTTTATAAGCTTGACCAAGGAGTTTAGACAAAAGCGAAAACACACAGAAATTTTGGAGTGCAAAATCTTGAGTTTTTAAGAAGTCACAGATTATAAATCACTAAATCCTGAGAGAATTTTTTTCTCAGGTCCCCAGCAGGATGAATCAAGGAAAGCCTTTAACTCTTCTGCTACAATGTTTAATTACTGTATTAAAACACCCCAGTCACTTTGGTCACACTTTTGAGCTTCCCTTGTGTCAGGTTTAATTAATAATACAAATTTAAATAATTCAAGTGGGGTTTTTTTGCAGCTGTACATTAAAATAAGTGCATTCAAAACCAGTAACTTTTGCAGCACAACTCTGGATACTTTCTCATCATCATAATTAACACAAAGATTTGCACAATAAAGGAAAGCAGTCCAGGATTACTTCACTTCCCTACTATATATGATGCATAATAGAGATGTTTAAAAATATGAAGCAACAATAAACACGTAGCAAAGAGAGAAAGAAGCATACGGAGAGAAGCATAAGACCCCACTGAATGCAGAGAGAATTTTATGTTTAGAGTATTTAAAACCATTTGCTGACAGTTATATTTGATGAAGTGCCACTACAATTTTTATTATTGCCTTTGAGTTATGGGACCTGATTTTTCTATCGGTGGACCTTTTGTAGTCATTTAGATCACTATCACTTGATATAAACTTTATATTATTCTAACATAGTCACATTACAACTCCTTATTGTTTTTAATAATTTCTAAGTATTTAATTAGCCAGCCTAAATACTAAGGGTGATGACACTGCATTTTTTAAGGCCAGTATCAGTGTGCTGGAAGTACTTCTTTACTTAACTACTCCATATACAACAATGGAAAAATATTTCTTGAGCAGTTAGGAAATAATACCTTAAACATTTTACATGAAATTGTAATTACAGCAAGAATTAACATCTTTCAGGCCAATGACTCAAAGCATTGACTAGACCAGCTCTTGCAAACCTCATGATGTTGGTGCAAGAATTTACTCCCCTGTCTGTCAACCTGACCTGCTCCAAAGTAAAGTCAGGGAAAAGAAACATGTGCCCATGCTTCAGTCATTTCAGTAAAAGATCAGTACCTTAATTTACGCTTTAGATGGAAAGATCAACAGAAAAAGAAACTTGCAGATATCAATACACTCCACAAAAGTTTGGGTTTTCGTAAGTGTACTTTGTTAGCATGCATGTGTGTGTGAAAAGGTAAAAACAAACTTAGTAAAAGAGCTGTATTACTACATTATTTGTCAATGTGACCCAGACAATACCAGATACATATAAAAATATATAAAAAACGTCGCATTCCATTCATAGTAATCACAGATTTTACCATTTGGAAATATTCACAAAATAAAATCTCCAAAGTAAACTCTTAAGTTGCACTTGTGGTTTTTTTCTTCCTCTGTGATTTTGCCAATGTGTGCACCTGTATATGCACAGCTTTATTTTACTTTCGGATGCAGAAAAGACAGATGTTGTGCTACTCTTTTTAGCAAAACAAATTTTAAAAGTTGCACATGCAATTCTGATGAGATTAAATTACTTTTGGGAACTACAGCTTACCTTCACCAAGTTCTGACATTTCCGTGACTCTGACTTTTTTTCAAGTTTTATTTGATAATTAAGACAAAAGGGACAGGGACAGGAGGAATGGAACACTTCAAAGTTCTTTAACTTTTTTTTCTCCGTTTAGAGGCTCAATTTATAACCACACCATATCTTAGTTTGCTTCCTGAGCACACAACCACCCTCCAAAATGTGAGAGAGATAAAGGTGACCAATTATAAGATATTGAATGAAATACATATAATCCTAAGAATAAGCAAAAGACAGATGTTGCTCCATTGGTATTAAACATAGCAAGAATTAATACATACAAAACGTGCTTCATACCTTTGCAGTCAGGCTGAAAAATCCCTTTGGTTCAATCATTTTTTCTAACACGTGGCACTTTATTCCAGCTGTGCTGTCATACTCATAAACCACTCCATACTCCAGATGAACATTGTCAACAGTCAGACTCACATGATCTTTCTTCCCATCAATTATTGCCATAGTGTTAAATTTGTCAATTACCTCTAGAATAAAGAAAATAACACATATCAGTTGAGGAGGGTTGGCCATCAGACAACCTAAAAAGGACATAGGCAAACATCTTAGAAACAGGTATGCTCTGATCATTCTATTTAAAAACTTTCATCACAAAAGCCAGCTACCAGCTGAATGATTTAAAAATCAGAACACCAGTAGGTTTACGGATGCTAAAATACTAGATTGCTAAAGAGGCATGAACAGAGAAGTCACAGTAGTCTCTCTTTACAAACAGTTATTGAAGAGGACTAATTCAATTTCATTTATAATCCAGAGACATAAAAAAGCAACACAAAAAGGGAAGACTGAGAACTTCTAAATAAACTACAAGAAAATGACCATGACAAGTGTCAACATTCAGAAATTAAACCACAATATCAGCATTTACCCAGTGAACATAAATACAGCTCACGTTAACTGTGTCTTTAATTACCATGATGCATATGAATATGCAGCTTTATCTAAATGTTAATTGCCTGAAAATAATCTGAAGGATAGCTGATTTGTTATTTCTCATGCAGTAGTGACTAATGCATCTAATTCAGCCTTAAATCTTCACTAGTGGTGAAAATAAATCAGGTAATTCCTAGGATTATGTATCCTATGAATGAAAATTGAACAGATTTTCCCTAAAGTGTTCACAGAAGCTTTTTCTCAAAAGGAGAAATATAATAATTTTCAGAGAACAGCATGTTACATTTATGTATTTAGAATACATTAAAAAGCAAATCCTTATGTAAAACACATCTTACAGTCTGTTTGCAATTTCCTCTCTGAAAACAAAACCACTGTCTCTATTTTCCTTGCTACTACACCAATGTCCTGAGTAACAGCAAAATCAAAATAAGCATTACATACCTTCCACTTTGCAGTCAAAGGCATCTCCTCCATCATCTCCAGAGGGCTTGGTGTTCGTTTTCTGAAGGTCTTCCTGTGCACTTTCAATGCTGTTGTAAACCCACTGTATAGAATCTTGCTAAAAAACAACAAAAAAAGACAGCTAGGAAAAGCTTTGCAAATGCAATTGATAGCAACTTATTTCACTGCTCCCACACATGAAATAGTTGCTTTAATTCCCTGATTATTATCAGCTTTATTGCCTTCTGAGCTCCAAGTTAAAAATAATATTTTGAAAATTACAGAGAATTTTGGCTTTGTCTAAAACCATCTGAAGCATTTTGTCAACTTATTTTTTATTTCAGAGTATACGGTCATGAGACAGTATGAAATCTGTGACAGCATGACATCCATCAGTTTCACGTCTCTGCCAAAAATAATTTAAGACATTTCAAAACAATTTTTGCCTTGCTAAATCTGCTGTGCGTCCACAAATCTACTGGCAAATATTACGGAATACCAATCAAAGATATAGTATGTCCAGTTAATCTATCACCCATGTGTCACTGGCAAGATGAATACACACTACAGCCTTCATTACTTACATTTGCCTTTACTACAGTTATTTTACTAGATGTTCTTTATTGGTCCCCCAGATTAGCAAAACCCCCAAAAAGGACAGAATCACAGGCCCCAAAAGTCCAGCATCTTCTGTGACTGAGTGACACGTGGGCACAGGAATGGTGGCTTGGTCATACAATCTATGAAGAAGCCACATGTATGGGTTACGTCTTGTTCTCCCCCTCACTTACTCAGCCACATGCCCATCACATCCTTGTGGAAGGGCCTATGAAGTATAGCATCTCCAGACTACTCTTCTCTTCCCCTTACGCTTCAAAAGAAGCTTGACAGTCAGTTAATCACTCCCTCTCCCACAGCTACAGCAGAATAAATGACACAATTATGACTAATCTGAATTCATAGGCTTTAAAAAGAAGTTTGTGCAAGAACTCAAAGTTAAGCAAGGATAGCAAAAGTTTAAGCTGAATGTTAAAATTTTCACATAAAATGCCAAGTACATCTAATTATGCTTTGCTAATATACAATATTCAGCCGCTATCTTTGTCCCATTAATCACAGATAACTATTTTTTTGTATGATTAAGGTACTAGTTCTCTCTAGGTTTCCTAGATTCATCTTACTTCATGCCTTATTTTTCATTCAATGGCACTGAAATATTTGAACAAGGAAGCTTAACTTTCAAAGCTCTCTGTTGATTGTTGGAAGACAACTGTGCCCAAGCTGATCGACAGAAACACTTCTGAAACCCATGCTTCTTTGCAGCTACACCTGAAAGCTTGCTGCTTATTTATGGAGTCTTACAGGTTTGCTGGGAGCATTAAGGCTGCCATGCCAATCTCTAACAGGAGATTTTCATTATGTCAAAGGGTTCCTTCATTATTTGAACTTAATATGGCCTAATGGAAGGACTAACTACTTAAACTAGAAGTCCCTGTTTTAGAAGTTAACACAAGATATAATGCAGTATGATTTGGAGCATGTTCTCCAAAAGCTTTACAGGGGCACAAACTAAGCATAAATTCGTCACATCATGATTAGTATCACTGCAAAGAAATTGTACATAATTACAAGAAGTAAAATCTGCTTTCAATTTTCTTTATCCAGACAGGACAGAAAGAATATAAACATTGTCCAACAGAAGTTACAGTTATTCACACTGCAAGAATCTGAAACGAAACTTCTCACTCCAGGCAAGCAGGAAGACTCCTCGCCCTGAGAATTAGAATATACAGGAAACAGAAAAAGATCCCCTTCCAATTATGCAATTGCCAAACACAGGAGAGACTGCAATAGTCGTGTTAATTAAATGACAGGCTAATGCACTGTACTTAGAAAATAGGAGAAATCCATAGTCATCTTCCAAATAATTAAACCCCCAAATTTCTGAATAGCAAATGAAATTTTAGCTGTCTTGACACCAGTGGGAATACTGTCATTTATTTCAGTCTAGACAGTTCACCCATAGTATTTGATAGCACTACATCCTAAATGTAGTTTTTCTTGTCAGTCTGGGGGATTTTAGTTATTTATGATTTGCTGAATTACGATCAGCTACTTCTTTAGATTGAAATAAATACTCTGTACAGGAAAAACAGTGATGTACTCCAACATATTACACAAGTGGATTAAAAAACCAGAGTAATTTTGCATGTCAAGGCATTCATGCCAGCCTACATTAACCAATCCTCTTTGGATGTCACTAATCTCTATAGGAACTCCACACCTGCTATAAAGAATTTAATTTATCTTTTATTCTAACCAGTTTTGCTACTAGTGCATGAAGCACCCTCTCTTTACTAGAGTACATCTTCCTTTAAAGAACAGGTGAGCTTGATCTTGATACGCTATGTAACAACTTCAGTTCTGTATTAGAGTTTGAACACAACAAACCAAACATTTTCATAAAGACTGTATTTGCATGACAGTTCTAACTAACTCTTACTTATAATTCTTATCTCATATCTATGCAGTAGGTGTGGGAGAAGGATTTCACTGATGATTTTAATTGGATTTTTCTTCTCAATTAACATGCACTGGAAGAGTTTGTGAAGTTCGTTAATGATATTGGTTCACAGTTTATGAAAAAATTGCAGGGACTTGGAAAAATTATGTTATAGAATCCAGCTAGGTTTGGTTTTCTTCCTTAAATTTGTGTCTTGGAAGCCTTAGATTTTCTCCTATACTAATGTGAAAAAGATAACAAAAATTGCATATTTGTATTTTAAAAAGTGAGATTTTGAATCCTTGAATGTATGTTTATTCCCAAGATTGGAACACAATCGGAACACAGAGACTTTTATAGATGGAATACATGCACTCTGCTCTCTATGTGCTGAAGTGCTACAAAATTCTGGAAGATCAACTTTTTGCATTGCCTTCTCATGCTGCTGAGCAGGCAGCGAGCTGTGTAAATCCCTCTCCATCATGATGAGAATATACCTCGTAATGCCTTCTGCCTAGAACTGCAGAAACACTTGAAATAATCCTTTAAAAATACCATATGAAAAAAATTAGCTATAAGCTTAGATTTATTTCAATGTAGAAATTAAATAGACCTTGAACATCAGCAAGGTATTGAGCAATCTTCAGCTTCTGTAATTCAACTGGCTTCCTTTCACTTTTATTCACCGCTCCTTTCCCTTCATCACACTCAAACACAAGAGATATGTGGACAGACATACACACCACACTGTTCACTTTGACCAAAAAAAAATTTAGAATTAAATCTGCAATGGTACCAAGTGAGATGTACCTGCATTGGCCGTCTGTACTTTCTGCACGCCGTGACATGAGCAATAACACTTGCATGAGTCTCTTTGCTGACATTAATTCCATTCACTTTGATTATGCATTGGCCAGGGTGGAGACCTGCCGCAGCTGCCACTGTTCCTATAAAAAAAACCAACATAGTTAACTGACTTCTTTTCCTAAACATCTCCTTTACAGTCCAAAAGCCTCATTTTTTAATCAGAATCTGCTCTCACCAATTCTTACATACTTCCCCTGACCACTGGCTGCTTCTGCAGTCAGCTGGACTCCTAGAAAATGGAGTTCCCCAGCAGATGATTCCATAAAAAGAGACCAGACTATTTTCTAAAGGCTATTTTATAAAACAAATGTTGATCAGTAATATGAAAACGTGGAAAAATTGTCTTATAGAAAAGGATTTTAAAAGAATAAAAAGGCTCTAGCTTAAAACCCACTAATTGTAATTTAGACCGCTTTTATTCCAAATTCTTTTATATGCCCCAAGCTTATGAACTTCTTGACTACTTCAGGTGTCTCTATTTTACATACAAAACAGAAGCTTTCTGACAATTCGTAAAGAAGTCAGAGCATATATATCAGAGCATACTAGAGTTTCTTGTTAAACATGAAGTGAAATATCCAAATCCAAATACATTTCCAAGGATTTTGTTCTTATTTTAATCTTTTCACCAACTCAATTATAACACAGTGCCTTACAGCTTTAATCAAAATACCCAAAGATAATTAAGTAGGAGATCTCAAATTTAATTTTTTGGGGGGAGGAAAAAACCAAAACCTTCTCGTTGAGCAGCATAAAATACATGGTTCGGCGATTTATTTTCACAATGGAATAACCACGTTGGGAAAATCTTCTATCCATTGAATAGGTGCTACAAAAATAGCAGCTGTCTCCAGGTCTTTTCAGTGTGACTCAAGCCCACTCCTGAAAGACAGCCTGCTGGAGTATGACCTTAGTTCCAGCCACCTGAACGTTCACCTCCTTATGTGTCTCTTGATACTGCCACAAAGGTGTCAGGGCAGTCAAAATCCACTGCCTAGAGACTGCAAGGCTGAGCTGCAGAAGCTAGCTGCTATGAAAGAAAAGGCTAGACTGAATCTGCAGGGCTGACAAATAGAAAAGCTATGTCATGACTTGTCAGCTAAGCATATTTGACAAGGAAATAACTTAAAGAACATACCTGGATTCCCCTCATTTCAGGTACTATCAGGTTAGATGATAGCTGCATTTTAAATCTAGTATCAAAGGAAGTCTTTGGAAATTACACTATTACCAGCTATTGCAATCCCCCCCCGAAAAAGGCATTTAAAAATAAACATTTAAATAGGCCATATTAAATCTCTCTCTCAAAAAAAAAAAAAAAAAAAGTCTCTCTCCAAAAAATCCAAGGTCTCAATTCAGCCAAGTATTTAAGCATATGCTTAAAATCTTTCAGGTTTAGCAAACCACACAAGCAAGCACTTATATGCTGTTGAGGCTAACTGGAATAAAGTATGTGCTTAATGAATAAGGATAAGCAGTTGAATTGAGATCCAGGTGCAGAAATAATTATCACTTCAGCACAACAGTCTGTAGTTTATTAGACTCTCTGAAAATCTAATTTCTGGCACCACAGCATAGCAAAAAGTTCAAATCTGGCTGCTTTGCAGATCAGTGCACTTTAAATTCCTCAATTACAAAGGGAGGAAGGGGGGAAAAGGACACAACTGCCCCGCAGTAGCTGAAAGTACAGTGTTAGTTGGCTCTACCATTAACAACATGCAACAGCAACAAAGAATGCAACAAAGAATGCTTCAACTGCTTTTATTGCCAGTATACCAGTCAAGAATATATTGAGTCAAGGATGGCAAGCATTTGACAATCACATCACAAAATGGACAAAACAGTATTTACAGGAAACATCTGCATGTCCTAAGACAGACTAGGTCACTAGCACCCTTGAAACAATTTGCAAAAAGTGCATTTTCTGTAAAATGTTTTCAGAACATTGCAGAACCACATGGCCACCTAACAAATTAACACTCAGGAAGTGAGCGGTTCCCAACACCCATTCACTGGAGAAGGTGATTTTGAATCCGTCAGCTATCCCTTAGTCTGTAAAGAATGCATGGCCTTAACTTAACTTTCCTACATTTGTATAAACACATACAAAAAAAAAAAAAGCCAGAAAATCTATCCAAAGCTTACAAAGTATAAAAACACAAAATTATCTTATTTGGTTTTATTTAATATTGTTTGTTACTTTGGGGAGAAAAAAAAAATCTAAGCTGAATCACTGGACCTCATTTTTATTTATCTCAGCCACGCCATTTAGATATTAAATATATATTTACCACTACTGTTGACAGATCTTATGCCTTACCTCTCCCAACAGCATGGACAACTGATGGGCCAAAGCCCCGGATTTGGAATCCAAGTCCATCTGCAGAGTCAGGAATCTTCACTGTCCTGATACAAGCAAAGATTCAATATGAATGTAGCAAAAGGTAGCATTTTGTTATTCGAGATAAAAGTGGACAGCAATAAGTAGGTTACAAGGGTGTAAGACTTCACACTTTCATTCGATTCACAGTTTCAGATTCAGCACCATTCATATTCCAGACACTTTGCACCACTGACATCAGAAATAAGAGCAAGCTGAGATACCAAAACCAATCAGAGGAAGGCAATACTGTTTCCCAGGGAAATTCAATATGCCAATTACAACCAAAGCACCACCATAGCTTTAAAATTCCTCCCGAAGGGACTGTGATTTGAGTAGGGTGTCACAGCACAGCGACACTGAAAGCCCTGGGAAGGCAGGCAGTCTGTCAGCCAAGAGGACAGAGCCAGGGGACCACAGATCATGGCAGGCCTTGTCAGATGAGCTGCAGAAGACTGTGGAGACTAGATCCGTATTACAATTTGTTAACAGCCAAGTGTCTGCTTGGTGAGTTTTATTGAAAAAATATTTTGTTGCAGTTTTTCTGAGTAGCTATGCAAAGTACTGAGTTTTGCAAAGCAAGAATCGCCTACTGCTGTTTGTGTAACTTGTAAGTGCATTGTGCTACACTCCTGCTTGGACTAAGTGCAACAGTAATAAACGTACTGATAACCAATGCAAACACAGTTCTGAGAATCAAAATTCACATCTACTCCTTAAAATGAAGGCCTGAGCTCACCCAAAGTAAGCTAGCATATCCACATGATATCAGCTGAGGTTCCAGAAAAAGCAACACAGCTGCATTAGCCCTTATCAGAGCTAGTTAGGTCACGCATAACAGTGCACTGATTTAACTTTGCAGCCTTTGCTTCCACAGCCAGCTCCGTTATTACTTAAGGGATCTTTGCCCTGAGCTCCATTTGTCAGTGCAGAAGCAGACAAATTCAAATCGATGCTGAAAAGTGATTTTTAAAATACATTTGGACTGTAATAAACTTAATTTACAGGTAGTTTTGAATAATATCACTGCATTATTTCTTGTACTTTCATTTTTTTCTGGTATTCATAAAGTTTAGTATTTGGAGATGATTATCAGCAGAGGTGAGATCCAAAACCCACTGAAGTCTATAAAATTTTTAAAAATATTATTCTCAAGATTAATAAATTTAATTTGAAATATTTTCGTAAGTACAGCATCATTTAGTATCCTTAGATATTAACTACATTTGACACAATCTATATGGTTTCATTCTGAAAATGCTTTGTGAACGTGCTAATGAGCTATGAAAGGCCATCACTGGCAGCTTAGGCTAAGAATTTAGAACTGTCTCTTCTGCCAACACAGTTATGCTAGCAGCAGCTCCAAATAAAAAGCAGGCAGCACTGAGAAACAAATTCTTCAACTCCTCTGAACTCCTCACTCTCTAGATCATCTCTGTCAACCTTGAAATTCACCCACATTTTCACTGGCAAGTTGAACCAGAATCTATATTAAAGAAAGGCTAAGATATGCCCTTTATGCTTGCCACAACACTATCATCTACTGGTTTGGGGGATTTTTTTGTTGTTGTTTTTGTTTGTTTGTTTGGGGGTTTTTTGGAGTATCATTCCAGATGATCATCTTTATGCCATATTTCCTTCTTTGCTCTTTTCCCCTTTCTGGGTGGCATTGTATTTTGTGAGGCACCTTTGCTTATTAACAGGAGAAACATGGCTCCACTCTACCACTGAACCAGAACCATTTCCAAGGCACTGTGTGTGTGCTGTCTGATGACAGAGGATGGGTCCTCCTTACCCTGCAAAATTTGATCAAAATCACTCCTGACCACTGTTTCTTACTCTCCTCCTTCTCTGGTATGTACAAACCAGTAACAACTGCATTAACTTGATTAATAGACGTATGCTCGTTTACATACTTACTGAAGCCAGCCATCAGGCCTCACTTTGTATTTCTTTTACGTAACAAAAATGGCATTCAGGTAGGAATGGTCAAAACTGTGTACAGAAATGCATCTCATAAAGATCGGGAGCTGTTTACTTGCTCCTGCTGTTTATACAACCAGCACACATACTTAAGGGGCCCATTAGATCAGAGAGTCCGACTTCTGCCAAACCAGCAACTAATCCCCAGACAGAGGAACTTGTTTAATAAACACAGTGAGAGATAAGTGATCAAAACTGTCCATATAGTCAAGGAAACTTCATTTACACTTGCGGTTCCTGCATGTATTTAAAGTGGCAGAGCTGATGATCTAAAGCACTCGTGTTTTGCTTTTGCTGACTGACAAAAGTAATAAAATCAAAGCAGATCAAATTGCTTGACTTTACAAAGTCAGATTAGATACAGCATTTAAAATAACTTTACAGCAGTGCTGTCTGAAGTTCCACTGGTCTTCTAAAATTTACTTCAATTGTAGTTTGTAAAAATTCCCCCAAAGGAATGACAACTTACTCCCGTGGTTTAGTGCTCACAAGAACCCGCAGGGGCTTTCTGCTGTTTAAACATGCTTTCAGGAAGCAATCCACTTCACTGAAGGGTCGCAGAAAAACCAGGTCACCGTTAATGGCAAAGATTTTCTTCCCAACTTCCAAGCCTGCCATCTAGAAAACAATAACAGTTCTGTATATGTTTGCCTTTTATAACCATTAACATTGTATTTTCTTCTGCTTGCATGCAACCTCATTAGGAATAATGGCACACACATTTTCTTTACATTCTTTATGCCTCCTTCACATACCACGCACAAAAGACACCACAAACCACTTCTAGAACTGGTTAAATTGACGTGAAGGGTACCGTAAACTCATTCTGAAGAGACCTAAATACAAGACCTAGTCTTAATCAAGATTTTATGACAGTATTACGGTATCAGTTAATATTTGTAATAATTAACACAACAGCTTTCATTGACCCAGTTTACTTTTTTTACGATGTTACCTAATTTGCCCATACATCATTCTCCAAAGGAACTAAAGCTTCTTTTCATAAGGAAACACCTGATGAATACTTTAGTAAGTGAATACTTATTAAGTTCCGGAACAAAACAATATCCTTAAAAGTTTCATGGCCCTGGAGCCACAGGCATGGCAAGCCAAATTGCATACAGTTTTTAAACCTCTAAACAAGAAAGAAAGCGTTAACTAGGTCAGAGCAGCTCAGGACAGAGGTTAGCCTTAGCACCATCTGAGATGGTGGCAGAACCTGACTGCTGGAAAAGACAATACAGAATTATGCAAAGCTAACAGAGCGAAATCACCCTGGCCATAGCTCTGTGGCTGTATTATATTATTGATTTGCTGTACCTATTTTTATTTTGAATTCCTATCCCACCATGAAATTCAGAAAGGCTTGAAATCCATGTATAAAATCTTTCTCTCATGGACGAGACTTGTTCTTTCTCTTTCCATGTACAGAGACTCCTATGCAGTTCAGTAGAACAATATGAATTTACCCAAAGAGCATCTAAAGTAATACTAAACAGAAAGGCTGTAATTTATTCAGATTCTCAAATTCTAGACTTTATCCAAAGCTTGATACATCCTTTATTATGAAATATGTCAAGTGCAACTCACAGCCTAGCATACTAGTTTTACACTCATTTCATATTCTACCAAAACTGTTTATTCCAATCATGATTAATATAATCAGTGGAATATTATAAAACATATAAAAATAAAATGTTAACTCTTACATCACCACTCAATACAACCATTCTCCTGAGCAGGAAGTGAGTGTTGATAATGATCAGAGCTCTATTTTAAACAAAACAAAACAAAAGAAAAAAAAAAAAAAAGGGAGAAAAAGATCCATAACCACAGCTTTCTTAGGAAGTTGTCATTGTTACCATTTACTACTATAAATTTTCCCAACTGATATGCAAAACATACACCTGTGATCAAGTCAGTAAAATAGGGAAGATAATTTATAATACTTGATACCTCAGCATTTGATCCTTTCTCCACCACTTTAATAATTGGCACCTTATTTTTATCTTCTAAACCAAAACCATAGGTGCCTTCATTAGATTTAATCTGCAAAATAAAATTGTTCAAAATATGGTTCAGAAAGGCATAAAGAAGAAGTAAAGTATATCGCCATTAAATAACAATACACAGTGCTAATTTATCATCACTACAACCAATTATTTTAGTCATCAAAACACACAATCATTTGGTTTCACTCACCAATAATGACTTGGCTATGACATTTTCCACTACTTTCAGATCATGTTTCATGAGTCTGTGCTTCATATTTGACCCTTCCATTTCTTCATCCGCATAAAAACGGAACAGCAATGGTTCATCTTTAAATTCACTTTTCTCTAACACTGTATGATACAAAATCACACATATTAATCATTTTTTTTCTTTTGAACTTTTGAATATCAGGTCTTTCATAAGCCATAATACTGAACATGTGTACACTGATTAAATGCCAGCAAACTATTTTTGTGCGTGAATAGAGGGAAATCTTAATTTTTAACATAAACAATTTTTATTTGGATCCATTAAAGACAGGTATCACTAAGCTCATTTTCAATTACAACATCTGGATTTCACCAAGCTGAGGAAGATGCATTAGCCTGACATGGTTCTAGTGAAAACATCAAGCACAAAGTTTTTTCCTGAAATAGATTTAAAACTGTGATTTTAAAAAGTTCTGCTGGGCAGCTCCTGGAGATGCTCACCACCAAGATCTGGCACTCTCCAGGTAGTGAAGCATGCCAGGTTCACTATTAGAAGTGGGTTTGGTGGGGATGTGGAAGCAACTAGAACAGCAGACGGATGCAGTTTGTATGTTTAAAAATCAAACAAAAAAGAACGAACAGAGCCACAGAGGAATTTAATTCTCCCTCCCCTAAACAAGCTGATGAGAAAATAATTTCTTCCCTCTTTTCATTTCAGTAAATGACCTACTGCTTCAATCCTTTCACTGAAATCTTCCCTCTGATGGTATTAAATGTGACCTTGTTCACCTCATTTTTGGTACAGCACACATCTCTGCTGTCCTCTGCCGCCTTCTTTGTTCTCTGCTGTCCTTACGATTTTCTAATTTTTCTACAGTCCACTTTCTTCTACTGTCACCACTTCACCTTTTTAAAGTCACGCTTCTCCATACTTTATTCCTTCCTCCAAAAATGCCTCCCTTCTTCCTACATATTTCCTCAATTTTTATCATCTCATCTGTGCAAACATGTATTACCTGCTTAAGAAATTTCTTCAAAGTGACTAATAAAACTTCCGCCCCTAAATCCTTCAGAGGATGAAGCCCTCAGTGCATGCTATAAAATTCACTGAAAATAATTTTCAGAGTATACAATAGCTTTTTATTTCCTTGAAGACTGTAGCATAGGTCTCTTCAGTGATACAGTGAAACAACTTCCTGTCCCTTCTGGAATATCTTTACCAGCCCCGCATTTCTTCCTACTATGTAGATTGCATTAAACAAAAGGTAAGCATAGCTTGTACAGAATGTATTTACTTACCATGGTGCATAAACCCGTTATCACAAAGAGCTACACCGAATATCATAGCTTCTTCCCTCGTCCGGCAATCCCCCTGTTAAACCATAGCAGGTTTTTTTAATATATTTTAATATAGCAGCAAAATGGATTCTATGCACAATGGCGTAACCTCACAAGGCCAACAATGGTTGTAGATTATATTTACCACCGCCACCTTTATATATACATTTATAGCATACATATAAAACAGTATATACATGTGTATACACTATACCTTTTTATAGTTACAAATAAATATGTAAACATTTTAGTAACACTGCATTCTCTATAAAAATTGAACATAATAGAATCTAAAAGCATCAAAGGTTTTAACTTTTATAAAATAAAACTTGGTCCATGTTGATTGAATGAACAGGATACCCTGTTCTTGTTCCTAGTTCGCTTAAAGTAAAACAGAACTGATGACAGCAAATTGGTACTGACTTTTATCCACCTCGTTAGTAATTTAGAGTTTTCAGAGCCTATCCATTTCATTTTAAGCCATGAACAACGTTACATGCTGAATCACAAAGCTAAGTCTCATTAAAACATTTAAAGTTCAATTGCAAATAAGGAAGATAAGCACAAAAGGGATGAACAGCATGGCTGCTGACAGCTGATTTGTTACTTTACTAGTTTAAGAGGATTACACTTACACATGCTGTTTTAATAATCCTTACACCAAGTCTTTGCATATTATTCTGCTTAATACATCACTACCTTTCAAATTAGAATTTAAATACAAAATGTACATAAATCCAAAGGTGTATACTTGCCTGTGCAATTAACCAGTCTATAAGTTTGTTAGCCATGACCACAGATTTGTAGGTTCTCAAGTGATAATCTTTATCCCTGTTCAAAACAAAACAATGTTAAAAAAATCAAACAAAAACTCAAAAAGAGCCTAATGGAAAAAAAAAACTTGTATTTTATAAAAGAGTTAGTACAAGCATGAATTGAGTGTTTTGTAATGGTTCAGAAGTTGCCTCTGGAATAAAAAAGCAGGTCAAACCTTTCAGTGTAGATAGAAAGGAAGAGGCTGACCATATCCTGCTTGGGCGATAATGTCACTGGAGCATAAAGGCAGTTGTCTTGTTACAGCTGGGACTCTCCAAATAAGGTAATGGAGTGTTAGTAAAGGAGTGTATTAATATATACAGTAAGCACCGAAGCATATCCATCAGGACCTAGAAGGCTCTAAAAGTCTGTAAGAAAAGGTCATATTGAATGGAGTTTGCAGTCATTTAATGATTCAGTTACACTTTTTGTCTTGATAGCCCTTCAATCTTGTTTGATTACTCCCAAGAGACCAATCTTGACAGGATGGTTTAGGTTCCTACACTCAAACACAGTATCTCCAGATTATATACTTCTTCCGAATGTCTCTCTAAGGATTTCCCAATTGGACTCACCTAATTACTGGGGTAAACAGACTGTGAAGGCGACAGTACAGTCGTACACCCTGTTAAAGAGAAAGCGGAGGTTAGTTAACCACACATTCACACCACAGAGAACATAAGAGGAAGGGACACAGTAAGGAAGCCTATATGTTCTAAATGCACTTCATTTAGATAGTAAAAAAACTCTGTTCAAATTTCTATATATATTCATGTGCCAAAACTTAGTATTTCCAGACAACAGTACTGATGAATAAATTATGAGAAATAAAATATTTCCAATCTAATCTCAGCTTCACTGAGACACATACAAAAAGGATTAGCTTTAAGGTAGTACTAAAAAATTCTGAAGGTATAGTACTTTGAAAGAAAAGTACACAAAACCGGAAAGATAAAGCCATGTTTCCATGCATTAAGGTTTTCCCACAAAGTGAGTAATTAAAGTAAAAAACATTGCATTTGATTATATGCATCAATACTTTACTTACAAACTGAAATTATAACTAACCAATCAACTTTAAAAAAAATGCAGGAAGATTCAAAGATTGGAAATGTTTTCAATTCAAAACAAAAAATAAAACATTTGGAGAAGTTTAAGAAACTACCATCAGAAACTGTTATTTAAAAAAAGAAATCACACTAGAATTCCTTAGCAGACTATCAAAAACCAATTATGTTTATAACATGCAAGAAGAACCATGTGTAACAATTAAAAGTTGTGTCAAATTAAATTCCATCCTACTTTGCTGTGCCTGGTAGTTGAGTATTAAAGAGTTTTCTAGATATACCTTAACAATAACAGATGCCAGCAGGAAAGTGAATGACACTGTAATGTAATACCCAAAATGCTGACATTTTCTACCACCTCAAAATCATGAAAAGTCTGAATATTCATGAGTTTAAAGGCAACTTTGTTCAATCATTTTGTTATGCTTAGTAGTGTAGATGGATAGCACTACCTAGCTGTGTTTAAACATCTGGGTGACCACAGATTTACTGCCTTGTTAAGGCACTAAAAAAAGACATTCAGACTTAAGAGAAAATTAAAAGCAGTTTTCTACATATAGCTTCATATCTATTAAAATGGACTGAAAAATACAATAGACTGAAACGCCAGCTTCAGAATCACCCAGAAACACAGGCAATACATCCTGCATATGAAATCATTAAATAACAAAAATAACATAACAAACTGTAATTTTGTATTTAAAATGTGTAACAACAAGCCAAAATCTTCCCTTACAAATGGAAAACTCAATTTGATTCACATAAATATAGAGATGGGCAAGCATGAGGGGATGGCATATCCTGGCATAATATTCTACATTATTTTTCAAGCAGAATCTCCATTTCTGATGTGTTCTTCCTAATAATAGCAAGTACTCTATTCTGTACCTTAGAGATCACATCCTGCATCTCATTTCTTGGGTAGTATGTTCCATCATCATATCGGAATCTGTACAGCATGTGTTCAGGTTTGAATTGGTGCTTATCTGTAACTAAATTAAAAAAAAAAAAAAAATCATGTCTTGTTAGGTGACTTTCTGAAGAAATCAACAAGAGAGAAGAGGGCTAACGTAATTTCTTCCAATAACAGCCCATTACAGAGCAATAGGTAGATATCAGACAGGGAGGGCAGGAAGCCCAATTAGATCATCTGCCCTAAGCTCTTTTATGTCACTGGTGACAATACTTCTCACAATGTTTTAGTCCATAAGAAACCAAACAATTTTAAGTCACAGGGCAAAGAATAAGACAGGCAAACAGGCAGGGAACAGCTTGAAAAATTAGGCACCCATATCTGCTCTAGTCTTCAGAGCTTTTGCAAAGCTTCTTGACCAAACAGCCAAATAAAGCTTCTTTTGCAACTATTCATATTATTGTTCCACATTATTCTCTGTTCTAACTCTTGCTGAGGCCAACGTCAGATGAGTCAATAAAGATACAAACCCTCTACAACATATCTGACCATTCCTGCACTGGGGAGGAAATGGAGAGGGAACGTTATCCTTTATACGTAGCCAGATGAAGGGCTTAAGTGCAAGAGACTTGCAATCATTATGAAGGTCTTGATAATCCATTTCCCCAAAGACCCATGAAAAAGGATCTTAACAGGTGATCTTCACGTGATTCCAGCAACAAACCTCACAACTTTACATGTTTTATCAAAACAGCCATATCATACAATACAAAAATTCTCCTGGAAATGGTACTACAGCAAATCTTTCTGAAAAACAGCCAATTCATTTGATGGCTGACGACAGCACTAGGCACTAGCACCACCTTAGGATAACTGGCTGATATTAATTACTGTTTTGCTTGCAGATGTAAGCTTTAATTTTGAAACTAAATTTGCATGTCATCAACTGATAAAGGAGGCTACTGTAATGTCTTCATTAATCAGAGTAACAGGCCTGACAGTGTTAGGTAATTCTTCTGTGCATGCCTTCCTACACCGAGTGATTAAACCATCATCCCTTATTCTCTTCAAAAATGTAGTCGGGCACCATAAAGGTGCCTTCTGTCTGCATCATTTTTCATGCTCCTTCAAGCTCTTCAGTATCTCCACACATCATCTGATACATGGACATAAAAACTGGACTTCATACATTAAGTGGTTTCACCAGTGTCATATGCAAGAGCAAAATGACTTCTCTACCTGTATTTGATATATCTACTAATAGTAAAGCCCAGGACACTATTCCAATTGCCTTGAACTGATGGTTCACACTAAGGTGATTATCCAAGATAACCTCTAAGCTCTTTTATGTATCATTGCTTCTCAATACATCACAGAGAGACTACAAAATTTTCACATACAATGCCTAGTGTAACTATTGAAATGAATTTTAATAGATTGTGACCGTTTAACTCAGAAAAAAAGATACCTTCTAGTTCTGTAATTAAAAATAATTTCCTACTGTTGGAGAAAAAATATATTACACTAGATCAGCATACATTAACAGTTTTTAAAACCATCAGCTATGGAAAATAGAAAAACCACCACCAGGACAGTATTGCTTAAGGCCAAATTGTTCCTCACTGTTACAGAGATGTGCAGAGAGGGAACCAGGACTACAAAGCACCTTTCCTTTCTTGCATGCCTATGACAAACAGAGCGGGCTCTGAGGAAGACAAGCACCACTCTGTCTTTGGAGCCCCTACTTACACACAGTGCACCAGAAACTAGGGGAGGAGGTCCACAGAGCTGGCACATGCTGAGTTCTAGAAAGCAAGGAAACCACACAAGGATGTTTCCAACTCAAGAGGAAGGATGGATGATCTATAAGCTACTGTACTAACATGGAAACCTTAACAAAAAATTATGAAAACATTTAACTTACTGTACAGCTTTCCTTTTGACTAGTATCAGCTGTACATTTGCAAGACCATACTTACACTCAAAGCTGATAAAAGACATCATTACCACTAAAATAAGGAACCCCAAGTTGTTCTGTATGTCACTCCCTCCAAACAACAAACCTATACTTTGTGTTGGGATAGATATTTATATGGCATACACTAAGAAAAGGGAACTGATCAGGTTTAAACTAGTCTTTACTTTTACTTTTTTGCCAGGGTAATTTTGACTCTGATCAGTACACCAATCCCAGAAACTGCACAGCCCATGAATACCTATTAATTTTAAAACTATCTGATATTCAGATTATTTTTGTAACTACAAAGCTCCTTACTGCCTTGAGAGGAAGCTTCCATCTCTAATCAGCAATAGCAAGTGACCGGACAAAGTATCTCAGCCCATTGGCTGATATAAGTCATTTCAGGTATTAGAGAATGCCACCAGGAGGATTTAGAATTGCAACATACAAACAGCTTGTTTTCTTTTGCAAAACTGGGGGGAAAGGGGGAAAAAAAAATAATCAAGGAAAAACCATAACTTTTCTACTTGCAAGAGTTCACACACTAGGAAGTAAAACAATGCCCATCACAACATGGGTCTGGCATTGCTAGAATGAAGCCCAGCACAGTGAAAACAATGGCCAGCATAGTGAATATCCAAAGCCTAACAAAGCCCTCTATAACATTTGCAATGCCAAACTGTCTTTCTCCCCTGCTCCCTCTGTGAAAACAGATGGTTCATTCAACTTTATTTTAAGAATTCTATTTTCACTGAAGCACAGCTGGATCCACTATTCAAAGTAGCACGTCTGGCTCACATTTCTATGCCCTAATATAATTACCCTTTTATCTCATGAAATTACACAATATTCATTTAACTCTGTATTGAGAAAGTCTATGAGTGTATTTGTGATATAAATTACAAGATCATGAGAAGAATCTTTGGCAACAAAATCATTCCATTGAAAACAATTCTGTGTGTGTAGTAAACATAATAGCATCTGACATTTGAATGATGGTGGAGGAAAATGATGTAGACCGACATTAAAGAATTAAAGATTACATGACTAGTGATGAATAAACTTAATGTTTTTCCTCCTAATGTGCGTATGTTTAAAATGCACACAGCTAAGTGGCACCGTTACTCCCGCTTTCTTTCCAGTCAAGGACACTGAAAACATCGTGGCAAAGAACTTAAAAAGTAAGTATTAAATTAATCACTGGCTGAAGTATAGAAGTATTAAAATGTATATTATCAATGATTCAATCTAAATTTACACCCTGGATCTATGGTGGAACAGTAGCTAACTTCACAACTGTCTCACCATTTGTTTGTTTATTTGTTTGGTTTTGTAAGTGACTGTACCTATTGTAAGCCAAACATGCCTTCAAAACCAGATGTTTCTCCAGTTCACTTACATGGTCCTGTTGGACTATACCTTGTAAAAGGGACTGAGATGAGGACCTGCTCTGGTAAGAGAAAAATGTTGCCAATGCGAATTACATTGAGAAATAAAACCTTCTTATTGGCTCAAAAACTGAACCATTTCCGTGCTACTTCTCTCCAGAATGAGCTCAATACAGATAGGTGACTAAAAGTTTCAGCATAAAAATTTCAATTTTAGTAACTTTACAATGTAGTGAAATTAAGGTCTTAAAATTCAAAAGATTAAACTGTTGTGTTCTAGGTTGGATTCCACCAGCTCCACTTGTGATACCTAACAGATGAGAAGGCACATTTATCAACAGCCAACTGTGACTCACTCTCTTCGACAATTCTTAGTTGAACATGTATCCCTAAAAAGCCGGCCTTAATAAATGCTTTAAATCTTTAAAAGCAGTCTACCATTCTCTGTTCCCCCAGAATTTATTTTTGCTTACAAGAGAATAGCAATGTTTCTCTAGGTCCCTGTTTGCAATGTTGTGATCCAACAGCATAGATGTAATCTGATTAAATCAATGGAGCCTCTCCCAGTAAATCTGTTAGGCATGGACAATGGCCCCATGAGGTCCCTGCAAGGATATAATACAGATTCAACACACTGACTTGCGTTAACAAGACCATCTTTTTGCCAAACAAAATTAAGTCCACTCTAATTACAACAATTACCTTGAAAACAAGTAAGTTAAAACTAATTATATTTACCATGATGGATAATGCCATTCTCTAATAAAGCTTGGCCAAGATGAACACCTTCTTCAGATTTGTGTATCTCTCCAATTTCCAACAACCAGGACACAAATTCACTGAATAAAAAACAGATACAAAAACCAAACTTTAAATGTCATACCACCACATCTACATTTCCCTCTCAGTTGCTAGGGTTTCTTACTAGCCTAGTAAATGATTCTTAAGCCTAATGATCTTCAGAATGCCATACCACCTTCAAAAAAACCATTCATTTCATCTTCATTATTTTAACATAAATACATATGGTTTCCCTTGAGATGTCTTTTCTGTTCAGAAGCTGTACCTTTGCACATGGTGCACCATAAGCAAGCTTGATAATGATACCAAACTGGGAGGCGCTGATGACTCTCTTGAGGGACAAGAGGCCTTGTAGAGGGATCTAGATAGATTGGAGCATTGGGTAATCATTAACGGCATGAAATTTAACAAGTCCAAATGCCAGATTCTGCGCCTGGGATGCACTAACACCAGGAACAAGTATAAATTGGGAGAGGAGTGGCTGGAGAGCAGCCCTGCAGAAAGGGATCTGGGGGTGCTGGTCAACAGCAGGCTCAGTAGGAGTCAGCAGCCAAGAGGGCAAACCACGTCCTGGGGTGCATCAAACACAGTATAACCAGCTGGTCAAAAGAGGTGATTGTCCCACTGTATTCAGCGTTGGTGCAGCCTCACCTTGAGTACTGTGTGCAGTTCTGGGCCCCACAATTTAAGAAGGATGTGAAGCTCCTTGAATGTGTCCAGAGGAGGGCAACAAAGCTGGTGAAAGGGCTGGAAGGAATGTCCTATGAGGAGTGGCTAAGGACTTTGAGCTTGTCTAGTTTGGAGAAAAGGAGGCTGAGGGGCAACCTCATTGCTCTCTACAGCTTCCTGAGGAGGAGAAGTGGAGGGGGAGGTGCTGCGCTCTTCTCCCTGGTATCCAGTGATGGGACACATGGGAATGGTCCAAAGCTGCACTGGGGGAGGTTTAGACTGGACATTAGGAAGCTTTTCTTTACCAAGAGGGTGGTCAAACTCTGGAACAGGCTTCCTAGAGAGGTGGTCGATGCCCCAAGCCTGTCAGCGTTTAAGAGGCATTTGGACAATGCCCTCAATAACATGCTTTAACTTGGTCAGCCCTGGAGTGGTGAGGCAGTTGGACTAGATGATAGTTGTAGGGCCCTTCCAACTGAAAATATGCTATTTCCATGTTTTCTGGGATTTCCTAAAGTAGAATAGCCACATGTGACCAGACTGTCAAATATAAGGCAATCCTGGGTATACCTACTGCACCTGCCCAGGGCAGATGTGCCGTGAAGACAGAACATAATCATAGAACAGTAGGCCTGTTACTTCTGAGTTGTGTCAGACACATGGACATCCTCAGCATATACACAAAGTATATAGTGTGCATGCAGGAAATGCCTGGCTTATTTCACAATGAACCTGATGCAGTTCAGAGACATCCAATTTATAGCACATCAGATATTTGCATGTGTGTTACAAATCAAAAGAACAGTGTAGTGAGGTAGTGCAACACTCACATTCATGGGTTTTAACCGGTGACCCATGGACCAGCAAAAGCATACTTCAAAAGGGTTCACTTCAAAGACAGCATAGAAAAGCAGCCATTTGACAGTAGGTTTAAATGTTTCACACATGGCTCCTCACCATGAGTGTATTCTTTACCTGCTTGCAACAACTTCACTGAGGTAACATGATTCAACCACAACTCAATTGTTAATCTTCATGCTGATTTCAATTCTCATCAGCTATGTGGACTTCTGACAGCAGATAAAAATCTCCCAAGTTTCATTTCCACTTTTGAACCCAGTGGTGAGTGTCTTCATCACTATGTGTTTGTGCAAAACAGTCACTGTACTTTATAAAAATACTTTCCATACTTACAGTCTTACAGTGAAATGAAGTAAGTGATAACCCCTCTGGCCCTGAAACTAATGTTTTTGTCATATACAGATTTTTAGGGTACCTATTGCTTTCTCTTCCTCTTGCGTTCAGGCTTCTTAAGCCATAGATATTATATAGCATTATACAGATCCTCCTGATAATAGGGGTAAATTTTTAAACATGTAAACTTTATTTAGTAACTCTGTCCCTGACATTCAGGCAAGAGGAGGACAGAAACAGTTTTAGAAACAGAGATTTTTTTAAGTGGACTAAAGCAAATTTGATAGTCTAAACTAAGCATTTCAGAGACAAAATGCATTGAACAAGTTGGGAATTATTTCTTTAAACAAACTATTTTATTGGATGCATTTTCATATTTTCAATATGCCTTTGCAGCCTTGTCCCTTTAATAAAGCTACTTTGGAATACGAGTACACATCCATAAATTTCAGGCAGACCAATTTACATTTTGGCTAAATTCTGGGAGGCAAATAGGTCTAACAGACATTACAAATAAAGCATGGTTTCCACAGAATCCCAAAGAAGATTTAAAATGTGGTTTTAGCTGGTTAAAATTCATGCTATAAAATGCATGTAATACCTTCCAAGAAAGCATTTGGGGAAAGTGGTTAATTTCCTCTTCCTGTCTTTGATGAGATTCCCTTGTTTGCACATCATTTTGTACAGTCTTTCTCCTTGCTCAGAGATCATCACCCAAGTGTCCTGTTCCATGCCCAATTTTAAACCTGCCAAAAATGCATTAAAATTTTATGAAGTGTTACTACCATTATATTTCAGTATCTTCCCCAAAATGGAGAAGCAATACCAATATTTTACATACAAAAAAAAAAGTAAAGGAAATGTTTTCCATTATTTTTCTCACAAATAAGATGAAACCATGAACATCTGATCTTCATAAAGCATAATCAAATGATATTTTTAAGGTCCTCATAGTGAAGTTAAACTGTTACTATATTGGCATCACTATTGATATTGTAGTAATAAATACTAATGCTGTGATTTTCAGACTTCAGTATATGAACATTTGCAAGACAGTAGTCATATCTTCACAAGTTCAAAAAGAAAAGGGCCTTGGTTTTGTTCTTACCATGTGATAATAAAAATATTTTCACTTAAAGGATTTTTTTTCAAATTTCCAATTAATAGTAACTAGTTATCTGTTATACACTTGTTAGTTTCACATAAGATTAATTCACCCCTTTTCCACAAAAGCATATATACAAATTCACCTTTTTATTTGCTTCAGAATTTTTTCAACAACAGAAAGCTATCAAGGGTTTTATTTCAATATTTCTTACTGGTTTATTTTTTCCTGTTTCTCTTCTTGAGAAAATAATTATGTTTTCTGAGTAACAGATGATTAAAACCTGTTTTTGTTGAATTATGCATCCTACTGGCCACTCACAGAAGCTTGTGCTTCCAGACGTTCATATCCCATGTGCTTTCTCAATAAACAATTATTAATTATGGACAAAACCACACATTTCTGGAATCTCTTATGTATCTGTTCTCAGTTTCTGTTCAGATTTTCACATTTTTAAAACTATAACTGTACATATTCTATCTGAGTAATAGTCTGCCACATCTTTAATTCCGAAAATATAGCCAAAAAAAAGGTACCTGTCATGAGAAAAAGCTAACAATGGTACTGGACACAAATACAGGAGTCTCTCATTATCCATGAACCAGGTAGTGGTGATGCCACACAAACAGAAAAAAACCTCATGTATTCCCGGGAAAAGAAAACTTAACCAATATACTACTTTTGGAGTTTATAGGATGTTAACGTTTTATTTGTATTGACTGTTTGAATCAGGCCATCATAGCATCATCAGCCTTGAAGATAACTACCTTTTAAACAAATTTCTAACTTGTTGAATGCCTCAGGCAGTTACAGGAAAGCCCCAGAACTGACAGAAAGACTTCCTAGCAAAACGTTTCCAATTCAGCTTGATTTCTCCTAGCAAGAAAATACAATCTATAAAGTGATCCTAGCTGACAATTCAATTACAACCTCTGAAATCTCTGCTAAAGTACTTCATTCAGGGCATGCTCTCCCTTTTGCTCAGCTTCTGCTATATGGATTTCAAATAGAAGTATAGGTTGAGTTTCCCTAAGCACACTGAATCTCTGAGTCTCCCAACATGAACAGCCCAGCAAGCCCCAGCTACGTGGCACACTCAAGCTGTATTTCCGTGCCTCACTCCTGCTCCACATGCTGTATTTACCTAGTCCAGAGATCACTGCAATCTGCCATTCTGTACGAGGTGTGGGATCTACAGCACTACTACGAAGTGCATGGGCACCCGCAGCACAACCAGGAGGGAGTCACTCACATGAGCCTCACTCCTAGCCCAAGGGATCTGGGAAGTGTGTTCATTTGATTTAGTTCATCTCAGACTTGCAAAGGAGGTAAAACTGCACTGTTCTCACATGTGCAGTCACTTAGACTTCAGTGGAATTGCCTATATGTATATACACACACATGAACAGGCTCCATGTCTTATTAAGTAAACATACAACTAAAGCATCTTTATGTTCACAGTGAATGGGAAGTGTTATAGCTACATTTAGATAAAGTATTTGAATTCTAAGAAGATAGCTGTTTGGTTCCTGAGGCATTTGGCAATTTCACTGCAATTAAGTTGATGCATCCTGCTTTGCAAGAGGTGTTTATACAGATACTTTGAAAAAAATCACTGTGCTGGAGGAGATGAATAAATTTATAAGTTGATAGAGTAGCAGAGATATTCAAGAAATATTTTTGAAGATTCTGTGTTGCAAACTGAGTCTAAGTGTGTACCAAGTCCTCTCCTCTTACTTTGATTGTTGTCTCCTTGGTGGCAAACCCACTAGGAATACCAGGAGCTGAATTCCCCTGAATTGTAGGATGTTAAAATCCTAAGACATGGCTTGACTTTGGGATGGCTACCTCAGACCTCATGCTTGGCAAGGTTTAGCTCAAACTCACCTCTACCACCAGCTGCTCAACAGTGTAGTGTAACATAGTAAAAATACATCAACATAAAATACTCCTACTTACTCTTTCTATTTCTTACCTAAAGGTATCAAGAGTCTAAGGGAGCCAAGAAATTTAGCAGTGAAGTGGGATTTGTTAAAAACCCTTTTTAGCCAGTTCCAGACAGGGCCCTATACAGAAACAGACAAACCTGGGTTTTGTTGTATTTGACACCATCTCTACCGCATTGGTTTTTCATTTGCTAATTTAAAAATGTTGAGTTTTTAGACCTCTAAGGCATCTTTTTACCTTTTCTACTATTAATTCCTGATGGCACTATTAATTAGCCAGTGCTCAGACACCCGAATTGAAACTCTGGTACTACAGCAGATGTTCTACAAACATCCAGTATTCAACTTTAAAAGACCAAAGAAAGTATTGCTAGTCTCCATTTACAACGGAGGCAAAAAATAACAGCTCCTGCAACAGGCAGCAGAAAACCTATGCAGACCAGGAAAAGAATCCCAGACCTAACTACAAGGTCATATTTTCTTTCAATACTCCAAGGCTTCAATACTTCAAGGCTCCAAACACCGTCACTGATTAGGATATTTCAGCTTGCAAATGAAATTAGCTCCAGAAGATGGTGATGCGTCATCTTTCCCAGGTTCTACTTTGTGCTGGCTTCACCTTGAATACATGAGGTTATTCATGGTCACATTTGAGATCAGGATTATACTTCATCCAAGTATTCTTCCACCTTAATTCAATTATTCAAAAAAGATACTTGTTTGCCAATAGTGATTTCTTACTTTCTTGGGTAGGGAAGAATACATCAAAGATGGGGTTGTAGGTATACTCTGTACCATTTCATGTTGAGATCATCTGCTTGAAGATCCAACACAGAAGACCTGCTCATTTCAGTGATTCAAATGTCGAGTCACAAAAGAGAATCAATGCATGCAAAACCCAAAAGACATTTAGGATAGACCCTCATACACCACAAACCATAATAGTTCACAGGCCTCAGTGAAATTATGACCATTTATACTGGTTGAGGATAAGTTGTAAAATCATAGATGAAATCATCTCCCTATTTCTAAAACAGCATTCACTACCAGCATAAGCGATTCCAGCCATTATGTTCTTCCCAGTACAAGTTTGATTTATTTTTTTCCAAGCTCATATTCATGAACCTTCAGCTGAACCTGACACCACAAGTTTGCCTAGCAGCTGGTTTTGCTTTATATCTCAACATAAAATACAGTATGGCTTTCTGGCAAAGCAACACAAGGAAGTTTATTAACCTACCTTTTCTTCTCTCTCGCTCTTTCAAAATAGCTTCCAGCCATTCTTGCTTCTCTTCAGGGGTTTTCGCCATGCATACAAACCATTTGTTCTTTGCTGTGTTGTGGATCTTCCAGCCATTAATAACAGTGTGGCCACTGCTGTGATAGTCAGCTGGGAATAGACAAAATGGCTTAAAAAGCACCAACTCTTAAAAAAACAATAGTTGTTACAATTATTAAGAACTCTTATCATTATGCATAAAGCTTAGGAAATACAGAAGAATAGAAATGAATTTGAAGTTATCTGTGCCGCTTGTGAACTATGTTATAACTTAATAAGCTGTACTTTCAACTTTTAGTAAATAATGTCCTTTTTAAAATGTAACAGAGAATTGCTTAGCATATGGAAGAAGGTACAAACTCGACACTAAAACAGGCGGAGTCCTATTAAAGTTAGGACAGATGACAGTAGTTCGAGTACTTTTGTTTGTGTTAAACTGTAATAAATAATTCCTTAAAAAGCAGGACTGTGGTTTTGCCCTTTAAATTACTCAGAGCCGCTGTGCTGACTGAATGATTTACTATCAAACTTAAAAAAAGGACTAAATATACAGGAGGAAAATACAACTTCCGTTTGACAAGTAAGCAAGTTGTTATATTTGATGTACCTTTACTGGTTACCTGAATAAGAAATATATATACACTTAGTTATTTACACAAACTGAATTATAATGTAAGATTTACTATGATTTCAAAAAATGCATTAACCAAATGCATAATTTTTGAAATACGTTTCTAACAACCCTATGTTCAGTGTGCACATTGTGGGAGGGAGGTAACAATTGCTGATGTACTTAGATACTAGAACTTCTGACTCTTAACATGTAAACTGCAGTGCTATAAAAAGCAGTTTACTACTTATTACTCTTTCTTTACTCACATAACATTTGATTTTAACATGCTAGTCCATAAATCTTATTCAGAAATTAGCAAACAGACTTCCTCTCTCAAAACTAACACCCTTGAATATCCTTCACTAGGATTACATGCATTTCCTGGGGGAAAATTAGTGAGGCAGAAGTGTCCCATGATAACAAATATAATTTTTTGCATAAAATACAGATTAAAACTAGAACTTGCAACTATTGTACAAAACACTAAAAAAATCAAAGGTCAGCATTCTCTCACCATGAACCTTCATTAAGCGGCAAGAAAGTCCTGGGGCCAGCCCTGAACTACTATAATAACTACAGAGCTTTTTACTTTGTAAATACTTTTTCATAATTCAGCCCTGTTTTGTATAATGAGATGGGATTTTCCGGAACTGAAGCCCTTGCTGAAATGCTTGCTAAGATTTATCACAAATCTCAGCAGACATGCTAGTATCCTTTCAATAACTCTGCATTTTAATTAGATGGAAAGCAGCCAAGATTTGTATACTGGGCTGGGAAATGTCAGGAACTACTAGAAAATCATGAGACTGATGGCTAATTTCTAAACCAACAAAACTTTCTAGTACTCAAAGTGTATAAGAAAGTGCAAGCAAGTCTATGACGGGGAAAAAAATAAAGTTATTTTTGCAACATCATGTTTATACCACTTACCTATTTATCATATTTTTATTCACATATCTATGCATAATATCCTTTGTCCCTTTAAAAACACTGTTTCTTGAAAACTAGCCATCATATCATACATGCACTGTCAGAAAATCAGAGTCAAAAGTCAGGGAAAAGAAAGAAGCCTCAGACAGCAGCTCTCAGCTGACAGACTGCAGCTCTTTGGAGATCAGTGGCAGAAACACTACTGGAGGAAGGAAGGTTAAAGGCCCTTTGTATTATTTAAGCATTGTCCTGGTTTCGGCTGGGATAGAGTTAATTTTCTTCCTAGTAGCAGGCATAGTGCTGTGTTTTGGATTTAGTAGGAGAAGAATGTTGATAACACACTGATGTTTTAGTTGTTGCTAAGTACTGCTCATGCTAGTCAAGGACTTTTCAGCTTCCCATGCTCTGCCAGGTGCACTGTCTGGGTATCGGTCGGCGGGTGGTGAGCAATTGCATTGTGCATCACTTGCTTTGTATATTATTATTATTATTTTATTGTTACTATTGTCATTACTATTTTACTTTCTTTCAATTTTTAAACTGTTCTTATCTCAGCCCAGGAGTGTTTCTCACTCTTACTCCTCCGATTCTCTCCCCCATCCCATCGGGGCAGGAGGAGTGAGCGAGCGGCTGCGTGGTGCTTAGTTGCTGTCTGGGGCTAAACCACGACAAGCATATACTTATCAACCTTGCAATATGGCACTAGCTGCGCCTTTTTGTTTATTTATTAAGTCAGAGGTTAATACATATAAAACTACAGGGTCCTTTTTTTCCTGTGGTCTTTGTTACCGTGTATCTATCATCACAACACCCATGTTACGTAGGGAAATATTATAATCTCTAATACAGTGAACCATGGCAGTTTAAATTGTAGCAAAAAAATTAAAAAATGATGGCTCAGACTCACAAATGGATTTAGATCCTCCCATTTCACTCTGGACAGGAATTTGCAGAAAAAATGGCTCATCCAGCCACTTGAATATCTCGATGTAGAGATGACATTTTAAACATGCAGCTTCCTTGGCATCTGAAGGTCTGTAACTGCAGGGCCAAGAACGCTGGCAGTTTGACCACATTTATAACATGCCACTACAAACTCAATGAATTCTGTGAAAAGCCCAATCACCTAGCCAGGTACTAAGACTGCCTAATGTATACAGATGGCAATGAGTTCAGGTGGAGCAAAATGGATAGCTCTCGCCCAATTTTGCAATACTAACCCACTCCTGTGATGCCCACCTTGACTCCAACCGCTGCCTTTACCTGCAACACCCTGCTTTTTCTTTTGCTCCTCATATTCCCCATGACTACAATCCTCCAAGGCTCCTGTGAGCAATTTGTTCTCCCCGATATACCCATGCCCACAGCCTCCTGAAGAGCATTTCAGCTTTCTGCTATCATCACATATAAACTCACACCTTTTTTGGACTGGCTATTGGACAAAATCTGGTCAAGAGCTGCAGAGGTGCTGGCTGGCCAGCCAGGAGGTACGCATGTTCTGACTAGCCAGCTGCACAGGATATATGCACACTCTTCACATCAAGGCAATCACAACTGCCAGTCAGTCTAAACAAATGATTTGCAAACCTGACATAATAGTTACAGAAGGAAGAAGAGCATGAGACTTCACGTTGCTCCAAGCAAAGTCTGAACAAGCATGCTTAACAAAGCATTAAGCTTCCAACTTCCCAAGAAAAGGTGATGAAAGACGACATCATCTTCTAATGATACTTGGTAATAATACATTAAAGCTTGTAATATGAACTGTAATATATATATATATATTGTTCAAAATCCAAGACTCAAACCTTTGAGAGATGCATAACAAGCAATTTGTTACAGCCATATACAATAGAATTTGTTTCTTCCCTTAATAAAAGAAACAGAAATCTCTGTACTGAAGTACTTCTAAAGTTTCTCAGACATCAGGTTCTTAGGAGCACTGATGCTCAGAAATACCAAGGAAATAATTGCTGCATAATATCAAGTCCCTTCCTCCTCTGTATACTTTTTCATGCAGTCACTTGTTACTATTAGCAGGTATTTCATGCCTCATTTTAAGACCACAGGAGGCAGAACTAAGATAGTATAAAGAACCATAAATCTGGTATTTCCTAAGTCTCAAGTCTTGTCTTCATATGCTAAGTAACATTCATTTAATGGCTGGTGAATGCCTTTAGAAATACACTTTTCTCTCAAAATTGAATTTTAAAAACCGAATACAGAAAAAACAATACTGTCACAATATATCCACTCTTCTAATATTTTCAAGTGGTTGTGTAGCCACATTGTTTTAAGAACACAAATAGTCTGCCCTGATAAGTAATATGCATTCCACTTTAATCAGTGCAATCAAAAAAGGCACAGTGCTTCATGATGCTGAAACAAAAAAAGAAACCTTACACCAACTGTACTGTTCAGCCAAGGCCTAATTTCATCAAAGAAAAATTGCTTTTCAGAAAAAGCTTTGTTAATTTCTGTAGGCATGTCATTAGCATGACAATAAACCACACTGGGAATCTGTTTTCCTATTTCTATGCTTCTACTTACAAACAACGAAGACTACATTCCTACATCTACCAACACTGGGAGCAAACACTCTCAGTTACCCTGTTCCCTGGAGCCCTATGGTTCCTCATACCAAATGAGCAGAGGATCCCAAAATCTACAGTAAAAAAACATGGAAGTACCATCTAGACTCAAGTCTTTAATGTCTATAAAGAGACCCATGAAGAGTACATGAGAAAGAATGATGCATAGATATGAAAATATACGCACTCCGCACTCAGAGCCTGCACTCTGAATTAAGAATCATAGAAAGTGATAGGTAATAGATGATTAAGGAGAATAAAATAGTACAATACAAAAAAAAAAAAAAAAACCAGCAAAGCTAATGCGAATGAGGCTCAGACAACGATATTATTGCACTTGGGAAAAGAGATGAGACAAAAAGAACTCAGGAGAATAGTACTGGGTTACAGTTCAAATGGGGATGACTACAGGGGATGAGAAACAAGACATCTGGGTGCAACAAATGAGAACAGTACAGAAACCAAGACAGAGTAAGGTTAAAGAAGGGCATCATGATCTGAGTGAAAGAAAAAGTATCAGTGTGAGGAGAAGTAATACACTTCTGACTACAAGGAAGGAAAACAGGTTTGGGTTTTTTTTTTTAAAAAAAGGGAGGGGGTGGCAAGAAAGGGGCAGAAAGATAACACAGGCCAGGGAAGTAATACAGACATTTCCATATTTCAAAGAGAACCACAGAGGGATGAAATAGCAGTAATTACAAGAAAAAAATATTTTAGGATATTGGACAAACTGAAATGGAGAACGTGGGAAATGTGGGGATATGGGGAAAAAAGCAGGTAAGAATAGTCTAGAAATCAGAACAACCAAACCATTAACTGATGTCTCAGAAGTGGGGAAAGGAGGACAGATTTTAGAAATGTTGCATATACAAAGGTGACAAGATTTGATATGACTCAGGAGAGCAAGTGGGAAGGAAGCACGATAGCCTCCGGTACTGTGTACTATAGGAAATGGGGATGGTAGCAAAATTTCCTGTGGCTGGCGGAAATTAGACTACTGGTGTCTGGAGTAGAGAGGAAGATGATTTGTGCTTAGCCAAATTATACTTGAAGATTCATTGAGGAAGAAAACAAACAGACAGGAGGGAAAATGGACTGTGTGAAAGAGATCAAGGACTGGATAGCTAGCAAATGAAGAAAGGTAGGACAGATTTGAGAAATACAGGAGAGTCATGGAAGGAGGAAGAAAGAAATATTTGCTAAAGCAAACACTAAAGGAGTGGCAATATGTGGGACTGGAACCAGTGAAAGAAAAATGTTACAGAATTCTTGGAATATTCATCAGGAAGAAGAGGGTGGGTATAAGTCTCTGTAGCCACAGTAATGCCAAGAGTTATAAGTAAAGAGATGCCATCTAGAAAATGACATAATGGAAACAGGAAAACTGTCTGTTATTTCTAAAGCATATATAAGGAAGATGAAGGAAAATAAGTGAAAGTTAGTCAAATTATACATGACAAAAAAAAGACTCAAACACTCAGCTGTCTTTTTTGCATAAACAAAGCGCTAACTGAGATTTTATACAAATAAAGCTAACAGTTGGGTAGGAATACAGACCAGAAGAGGGAAATAGCAGGATATAGAATATTGGATAAATTATATTCAAGTCAATGAGGCTTGATGAAATTCACTATAGTGTACCCATAGATATCTCTAAAGCACTAACTAAATCTGTGGGCCTGAAGGACATAGCCTGAAACTGATGTCAAGGAGTTCTTACAAAAAATGTCTAGTAAACAAAGAGAATCAGTCAAGTGTGACGCCACAGTGCTCTACCTTATGTTCAGCATTTTCCAGTAGTTTTACCAAGAGCTTAAATGGTTCAGTAATAGCACTGTTTGTTCATGAAACCAAGGCAAGAAGCATTGCAAGAGCTTTGGGGAACAAGATACGAATTCTGAATGCTTAATAAACTGTGGAAATACTAAGATAAAATTCAGAACAGAAAAGAAAGTAATTCTTAGGATATACCCTCAGACATTAAAACAGCATAAGATATAATGGGATAGAAACCAGTAGTACACAAAAGGATCTAGTGTGGTATTCTGTAACACAAACTAAAAAACTGAAGAATAATGCTCCCAGAAAAGCCAAACAATCCTGGGATTCGAAATAGATATCCCACATGCAGCACTAAAGTAATCATTCTGTTCTACTTGGCACCAGTGACATTTCAGCTCTGGACACCTCATAATACAAAACATGCAAACAAACTGAAAAAAAACCCCAAACTCCAAAGGACACAAAAAAGTAATAAAAACTTAGAAAACACAACCCATGACAAAAAGTTGAAAGACTTAAAAAGAAGAGATGGAAGAGAGACACAACAGCCTTCCAATAAACTGGTTTGTTGCAGTAAGAACAATAGTCAAACTGTTCTCCAAGTATACCCAGTAGAACAAGAAGTGAGCGAATGATTTTGAAAACAAGGAACTCAAGATTAGAAGGAAAAGAAAAAAAAAAAAAAAATCTTGATTTTTAAGAAATATTTAACTTCTATGAAGGACTTCTATGAAGCTTACTTAAGTTGTACAATCCTTATCATTAATGCTCAATTTTAGAAAGAAGTAACATTAAGGAATGCTTGGAATCCATAGCAGATGTAGGGCAAACCTAATTCTATTTCAAAAGCAGGAGAAGTAATACATAACTCGCAGAAATTTCCTCCAGACCTATATATTTGCAATGCCACTGCAAGTTTCCCATCATTTTTTTTTTTTAGTTCTACATGAAAAATCCCAAAATGTTTCAGGTTTTCTTTATTAATTGTAAGGAAATAATAATTGTTAAGCTCAAAGGTTAAACTCAAGTTTCTAAAAGAAAAAATGACATTTGTAGAAGTACTTTGGGGTTTCACTTTTCTAATGTATGTCAGAAAAATTTCAAGCAATCATATGGATTATATCCCTAAAGGTATTAAAAAAACCCCTTCTTTTTTTCTTAAACACTTACGTTACAATTTCAGCATTTATAGTATTTGAGGTTTCATTCCAACGAAGGTAACTTTTCCATTTGCTTTTACAAATATACCACATACCTACGGATAACCTATTTAGGAGTGCTGGAATGCTGTAAAGTGAAGTTAAATATACGATTTCAGTTGAGCAATAAATGTCACCTTATTTTATTACTCTGTTCATGTGTCCTGGTTTCGGCTGGGATAGAGTTAATTTTCTT